CTGATAGCAAGCTCTGACTGGTCATTTGACGCGTTTCTGGCAAGAGGCATCCGTGCTTTGCGTTTTTGCTATAGTCCAGCTGGTCCAAGCTCACAAACAACTCGTTCACAGTTGATGTGGGCACCAGACAGACCGGCTGCGGCTCAGTTTCCTGGCTAGGCCGATCCTTGACAATTCTCTGAATTGCTCTTTGAAGCTTCTCAGGTTGAGGGTACAGCTGGTTGAGCCATTCGCCAATGTTCTGCTCGTTGGACACCTGGTGTCAGCCACAGTCAAATGTACAAGGGCTGGCAAGGGAAATTCAAGTAAGCGGTTCTGGAAACAAAAGTAGCGCCTCAAGGAACGCTCGCCAGATCAGATCTCTTGGCGTGTTTGTCTTTGAGTCTTCCTCCTCCAACTTGGCCTCCTCCAGTTTTGTCTCATCCATGGCCCAGGCAGCGACCGAGCAAGCGGGCAAAGCGAAACTTACACAGGCGTGGGCATGTGCGTGTGTTTGCGGCCGAGCTTTCAGCTGCACTCCAACCCATGACATCCCGCGGACGCATTGCTGCTTCCCAAGTGACCTTTTGGTAGCCATGTAAGTTCGAGAGCCAAATGAGCAAATCGGGAAGACAAGCTGCCGCGACACCTTGTGTCTCTTGCTACATTGCATGGCACAATGCGGTGAGTTGCAAGTATAGCAGGCCAGGTGTGACCGGCCAAATCAAGCGTGTCAACGTTGGCGGGTCCTGCGGCGAAGTATATTGGCGCTTCGGGCGAGTGCGGGTGCCACTTTCACACACGGTCCTGGGAGATATTGTGCAACTGTCTCAGGACTCATCATCCCCTTGAATTGAGATGCTGATTGAGATTTTCAATCGGCATCTGAGGATAGGACTGTGTTGAGCTTCCGGTTGATCCGAGTCTGGCATCCTGCACGCTGCAAAGTGTCTCTTTGTCCATTTGCTCGCAGGAAATATTTTACCCGGGCCTCAATCTCATTGCAAAAGCCTGCTGCCTTGCACATGTTCACTGCCTCAGGGAAGAACTGCCTCTGACAATTTGGCCCTTCAAATCCAGAATTGAGGCCTGCCTTGAAAGCCATGATCCAAGCTGCAGCTATGCTCCTGAGGTGCATAGCGTTCCCTGACAGGTCGGACAGCTCCTGGCGTTGCGTGGGCGCAGATGCCAAGGACAGGTTGGCATGTGGCAATCAGACAACAAGCCAATCCGGCCCAGCCCAGTCTAGTCAAGGTAACCATGCAGTCCTTGCTCGAGTTATTGGACTTGTCCAGCCGGTGCATTGGAAACCCCATGAGGAGCATCTTCTCCGTTGCTGGCGCAGCTTACATTGACACTGCGCATGTGAGGAAAAAAGACGGGCCGCGCCTGAAAGAACCCGATGTTCCTGCCTCAAATAGTAACAGCCACCAGGCCTCATCGAACAAGGCGCAGAAACCCATTAGCACAAGACGGTGAGGCTTCGGCGTCACGCAAGCGAATGGTTGGCCCAATGAGGTTACAGTTGGCATTCTGTTGAGATTTTGAGACAGGTCGCAGCAAACCCAGTCAGGCTTGAGAACCGACAGGATGCCCATCGCCTGCCACTAGCCAGAGCAGAACGTACTTCCTCCAACAAAACAAGAAAAATGAGTTAGGCTCCTGAGAGTTCCGCGAAGGAAGTCCCGTGAACTCTGCAGACGCTGTTTTGGCATCCTCAGGGTTCACCTCAGCCCAAGATCACATCGACGGATTGCAGGGTGGACGTTGGGTGTCACAAGCCTTGTTCTGCTTCATGAAGTCCCAATGGATGTGCCGCCATTTAGGCAGCTTTTCCGTTGGCCTCTAGCGATGGGCACCACCAGTAAAGTAGGGGAACAAAATGGCGAGCGGCAACCCTTTTGCTTTGAGGTCTGGGCTTCTGGGTCATGTCGAATTTCTCATCATCCTGGCACGGGCAACCCGCTCTACGTTGGGTAGAATAATGTGATGTTTCACGGCCTCCCGTTTGCGCTTTGGTTTGGTTGTCTCTGAGGCCAGGGACGGCTCAGCCAGTAAGAAAGTGGACCTCGCTCAAAGGATCTCGAAGGGTCAAAGGTTTCATGCACCATCTTACAACTGTTTGAGGCCTTGGCCACGGATAGGGGTCAAACACTGTGAGCTGTTGTAAGGCCTCATCCACGCTTGCGTCCATGTTGCTGGTCCGGAGAAAGTCCTATCAAGCGCAACGGTTGCCTTTCGCATCCTACAAGTCGTGTCCATCCCCCCTCCTTGCGGACCATGATGAAATACACCCTGTCTCGATTGGCATTGACGCCCAGCTTATTCCTGGGAGAAAGGCAGTTACAACGGCAGTTGTGAGCAAAAAAGGGGGGGGCTTCCAAGTTTCCCCGCGGACCTTAAAACGGTACCTTCAAAAAGGCACAAAACACTTTTACACAACTCCAGGGAACAGTTTGGGCGCTGGTTGTTGTGGATCCACCGCTGCAGGGCAAAACGGGGGGCCCAAACAGTCCTAAGAAAAATGAACCCGGCGGAAACCTCAAAAACCAGACCCAAATCAGTTTCTAGAACAATGTTGACAGCACCTTTTGATGCTTGATGTGACTGTGCCATGTTTCGGATTCAGAGGGCGGATTGCAAGGGCGTAGTTGCCACACAAAGCCAACTCCTTCTTGACCTGTTCCATCACGCGCCAAATCCCGGGCACGTTCTCCAAGAGGCAGACCTGGGCAGGCTTACAAACAGGTTTTGGAATTGGGGTCTACTGGCTTGGTTTCACAGAAAAAATGCGGCAAAGTAGCCCGTGGCTGGATCTCCTTTATGGTGTCCCTGACCCAAAAGAAAGGCTTGGCTGCCCTGTCCTCCATCAGATCTGTTTGAGTCCGAAGCAAACTGAATGCTTTGCACGGAAATCCCGCGCAATAGGCGAAAACCTGGCCAGGACCAATGTGCCAGTGTGCTCTACATGGAAACGCCCTGCCTTGTTTTTGAGACCGTCAATCTTCCGGCATTCCAGGTCGTGATGGAACCTCAAGCGATCGCCCAACACACGGCGCAAAACAAAAGCGTTGCTGAGGAGAGCACGGCACGAAGGGAAAGTTCCGGCGAATGAATTTGCGTGGCCCAGCCGCTTTATCGCAAGCTGACCTTGCTAGGCAACTGAAGAGTTGTAAGCGTTCCCAGCACAATAGCTTCCACTTCAGACTAGGGGCACATGCCGCAAAAGTTCACTGCGACCAGCCGCTTTCAGCAGCATTTCCAAGGCTAGGATTGGCGCTTCAGCGCCCGAGCCTCCAACTAAACATGGCAAAGCTGAGTTGCAAAACACTTTGAGGCCCTCGCAGTCCGTCATGACTGTTAATGAGCCACGCAGAACACGTATCTCGCGAGTCAAACCTGCGTAGCTCGGGATGAGGAGAGAAAGCAAAAAACAGCTGGCCTGCAGCTTCAACAAAGTCAGGGCCAAACTCAATCGCCCTGACTTGGTCAGCTGTGAGCTGGGTGAGGCCGGTAAGCCTAGAAGAGCCAAATCTCTGAAACTTAAAGAGCTAAAATAGTTTGAGGCTCTAGCGCAACAACACTGCTGTCAGTGCTGCCATTGCCATCGCTGTCGCTATCGCTACTGGAAATTGATTGCATGCCCCTCGCTGGGCTTGGCCCACTAGTAGCTGTGACGGGCGAGCGATTTTCCCAACACTTGGTTGTCAATTGGAAAACACTCAGTTGCAAGTGGACTGCCTTATATATATAAATATATGTTCCAGGCCGTGGACCCCCCCCCCTCCCCCCCCCAACCCCCCCCCCCCCTGTGGGGGTGGGGTGGGTGGTGGGGTGGTGGGGTGGTGGGGTGGTGGGGTGGTGGGGTGGTGGGGTGGTGGGGTGGTGGGGTGGTGGGGTGGTTGGGTGGTTGGGGTGTGGTTCGGAGTTGGTTTAGGCTTGGTGGGTTGGTTTAGGGTTGGTTCAGGGTTGGTTCAGGGTTGGTTTGCGGTGGGTTTCGGGTGGGTTTGGGGTTTGGGTTGATTTAGGCTTAGGGTTGGGGTTAAGGAGGGGTTGCAGGGTGGTTTGGTTTAGGGTAGGATGTTGCGAGAGGTGCGGGGGTGTTGGCTCACGGGGTGAAAGGGGGAGTCTGGGACCGAAGCTGCAGGGCTCACACGGTCGGTACTGGACAGCATCCCCAGCATTGCCAGCATCATCTCCAAGATGCGGATGATGCGGGGGAGTTGGGGGGGGGGGGGGTACGTGGCCCAGGGACTGGTACATATATATATATATATATATTAGTAGTATTATTATTATTATTATTATTATTTTTAGATTGGTCTTCCAACCAATGGTCATCCTAGGTACAGGACGTTTTAAGCAACACGTCAGTGTGTGTGTGTGCTGCGTGTAAAGGAAGAGATAGCGGAGCTCGTTGAGAGAGGCATCCTTAAGGAAACCATGCACGTCAAAATCAGTCAGAATTGCTTCGGACATTGAAGGATTGTTCTCATCCTGATGGTCAGTGTGCTTGAAAACAACACAAGTGCAGCCAGACCTGTTGAATCAGTGGTTCTGCACAACAAGCAAGTAAGAGTAGTCCTTGTTTGCAAACACCATGCCGCATGCCATTGTCAATGAACAGTTTGAACAAATTCGCAGCATACGTGCGGGCTACTTGAAGGGGCATTGTACTTAGTAAGTGGTTAGTAAGCCTGGTTAAAATTTACTTTACATGGTTACAAGTCTCCTAAGTGGGTTAAGCAGGCTTACAAACCACTTACTAAGTACAATGCCCCTTCAAATAGTGGTTTGCTTCACCTGAACAAAGGCGACACACCCAAGGGTTGGCTGGGACCGTGAAGTCATTGTGCCCTCGAAACCGGCGGGTTGATGTCCATCCTCCATGACCCGCCCATAAACACTCCCTGTGCTTCTGGTGACTGAAATGAGCCACGGCCGTGCCCAAATGCTAGTGACTAGTGAGCAAACTTGGTGAGTGTAACCGTTGCTCACATGCCAGCACGAACGGCACGCTCCTCCATCCGCTCGCGCACGGTGGAGCGGTACCCATCCGCCCCCACCAGCAGCGAAACGTCGCCCTCCTGCGCTCAAAACGCTGAGATTGGAGTGATGTTGTATGGTTTCACATTATTTCTATACAAAACATATATATATATATATATATCTATATATGTGCCTTTGTGTTTCCAACCCGGAGACGCTTAAAGTTTAAAGTACAGCAACCATCAGGATTGTCCGCCACGCGCCAGGCTTCCTCGTCGCCAATCCTAAAGCCGGCGTCGTGGGAGAGGCTCAAGCTGCCGGACTCCAGGTGCAAACCTTCGCTCGCGAGTGAGGATTCGGCTTGCGCGGCCATGGGCAACAAAACCTCTCAACATGAAGGGAACATGGGGGGAGGACGGTCGCATACGACCCTACCCGCCGGTCACATTTGACCCTACCCTACTTTGGCTTCAAAAACCATGCCAACATGGCAGCGTAAAGCTCCAATTCCACGACATGGCCACGCGAAACGCGCCGGTCACATTTGACCCTACCCTACTTTGGGCTCAAAAATCAGTGCCAAATGGTAGTACTATGTTCCAATTCCACGGCAGGGCCACGCGAAACGCACCGGTCACATTTGACCCTACCCTACGTTGGGCTCAAGCAACATGGCCAACTGGCAAAGAAATGGCAGCATCAAGCTCCAATTCCACGACATGGCCACGCGAAACGCACCAGTCACATTTGACCCTACCCTACTTTGGGCTTAAAATCAGTGCCAAGTGGCAATACTATGTTCCAATTCCACGGCAGGGCCACGCGAAACGCACCGGCCACAAGCGACCCTACCCTACTTTGCGTTCAAGCAACATTGCCAGCTGGCAACGAGATGGCAGCATCAAGCTCCAATTCCATGGCAGGGCCACGCGAAACGCACCGGTCGCATTTGACCGTACCCTACCTCACGGTTTCTTGCCAAATACGTCACTTTAGGTCTTGAGGCTTTTACATCGCTTTCAGGCATAGTCATCACATCACTTTAGGGCTTTCTGGTTTGCTGTCACTTCTTTAGTTAGTCACCACATCACTTTAGGGTTTTCTGGCTTGCTGTCACGTCTTGAGGTAGTCACCACATCACTTTAGGGTTTCTGGTGCGCTGTCACTCCTTTAGGCAGTTACCACATCACTTTAAGGTTTCTGCTGCGCTGTCGCTTCTTCAGGTAGTTACCACATCACTTTTAGGGTTTCTGCTGCGCTGTCACTTCAGGTATAGTCACCACATCACTCTAGGGTTTAGGGTGTAGCTGTCACTTCTTCAGGTAGTTACCACATCACTTTTAGGGTTTCTGCTGTGCTGTCACTTCACGTATAGTCACCACATCACTCTAGGGTTTAGGGTTTAGCTGTCACTTCTTCAGGTAGTTACCACATCACTTTTAGGGTTTCTGCTGCGTTGTCACCTCAGTTCTAGTCACCACATCACTTTGGGGTTCTCTGGTTTGCTGCCACTTCTTTAGGTAGTCACCACATCACTTTAGGGCTGCTGCTGCGCTGTCACTTCTTGAAGTAGTCACCACATCACTTTTAGGGTTTCTGCTGCGTTGTCACTTCAGTTATAGTCACCACATCACTCTAGGGTTTAGGGTTTAGCTGTCACTTCTTCAGGTAGCCCACATCACTTTTAGGGTTTCTGCTGCGTTGTCACTTCAGGTATAGTCACCACATCACTCTAGGGTCACTTTTCAGGGTTTAGGGTTTCTGCTGCTGTCACTTCTTCACTCTAGGGTTTAGGGTTTAGCTATCATTTTATCAGGTAGTTTCCACAGCACTTTAGGGTTTCTGCTGCGCTGTCGCTTCTTCAGGTAGTTACCACATCACTTTTAGGGTTTCTGCTGCGCTGTCACTTCAGGTATAGTCACCACATCACTCTAGGGTTTAGGGTTTAGCTGTCACTTCTTCAGGTAGTTACCACATCACTTTTAGGGTTTCTGCTGCGCTGTCACTTCAGGTATAGTCACCACATCACTCTAGGGTTTAGGGTTTAGCTGTCACTTCTTCAGGTAGTTACCACATCACTTTTAGGGTTTCTGCTGCGTTGTCACTTCAGTTATAGTCACCACATCACTTTAGGGTTTTCTGGTTTGCTGTCACTTCTTTAGGTAGTCACCACATCACTTTAGGGTTGCTGCTGCGCTGTCACTTCTTGAAGTAGTCACCACATCACTTTAGGGTTTCTGCTGCGGTGTCGCTTCTTCAGGTAGTCACCACATCACTTTTAGGGTTTCTGCTGCGCTGTCACTTCAGGTATAGTCACCACATCACTCTAGGGTTTAGGGTTTAGCTGTCACTTCTTCAGGTAGTTACCACATCACTTTTAGGGTTTCTGCTGCGTTGTCACTTCAGTTATAGTCACCACATCACTCTAGGGTTTAGGGTTTAGCTGTCACTTCTTCAGGTAGTTACCACATCACTTTTAGGGTTTCTGCTGCGTTGTCACTTCAGGTATTGTCACCACATCAATGTAGGGTTTGGGGTTTAGCTGTCACTTCTTCAGGTAGTTACCACATCACTTTTAGGGTTTCTGCTGCGTTGTCACTTCAGGTGTAGTCACCACATCACTCTAGGGTTTAGGGTTTAGCTGTCACTTCCTCAGGTAGTAACCACATCACTTTTAGGGTTTCTGCTGCGCTGTCACTTCAGGCATTGTCACCACATCACTTTAGGGTTTTCTGGTTTGCTGTCACTTCTTCAGGTAGTCACCACATCATTTTTAGGGTTTCTGCGCGGTGGCCAACGCGGGAGAACTAAAATGAGCACGCAAAAAGCCGCCACCACCTGGTCGGCACGCACGGGCCACAACATTACAAGACAACAACCAAGAATGCCCATGCACATTGCCTCCAACAACACAACTAACATACGCGATCATCCTTCCCCGGTCACATTTGATCCAACCTCACTCTCAAAAGGGGGCCCTTGAGTTGCTCGTTTTTTACGACGGAACAGGGGCCCCGGTCACATACGACCCTACCTCCGGTCACCTTTGTCCCTACTGGATCTGTTAGATACATCGAATGCTGCGTTCCAATTCCACGGCAGGGCCACGCGAAACGCACCGGTCACATTTGACCCTACCTCACTGTCAAAAAGCGGCTCTTCAGTTGCATGGTTGTTACAACAGAACAGGGGCCCCGGTCACATGCGACCCTACCTCCGGTCACATTTGACCCTACCTCATCGTGAGGTAGGGTCAAATGCGACCACGTTGAGGTAGGGTCAAATGCGACCGTCCTGCCGGGAGGGGCTTGCGCGGCCATGGGCAACAAAACCTCTCAACATGAAGGGAACATGGGTGCCGTTCATGTGACATGGGTAAGGGTTCCATGGGGCCATATAGTTTGAAGAGGGTACATCCTCTACGGGGGGGTTCAAGAATACAACGTGGATGAAACCATATTGAAACACCCCTGGTCGAGAAGTCCAAACAGTCGGCTACAAACCCAAAAGTTGTTATTTCAGTTACACGGTCCACTTGTTCTCTTCTGCTTCATCCTCTCATGCCCACCTACCACAGAACTCAGGGAGTCTCAAAACGCGTGTTTTGTTTGCTGTATTCGCTTGGCGTTCCAAATTTGCCGCTACAAACCTCACACCCAAAAACCCTCCGCACTCAGCGCAAGGCCGAAGAATGATGAGACGAGCAAATGGCCGCGTGGCTGATATCCTCGCAGCGCCGCACCTCGTCCTTAGTTGCACGGCCCATGGATAAAAGAAGCTCCATGAGGGTCGCAAACCACTTTGCACCCCGTTCCGCCTAGTGCGGTGAGCCATCTTTCACGCAGGTCTTGGAATCAAAACCAAGTGCAAGGGTCAAAAGGTCTGAAGAGTGTCGTAGAACGATGCCCATCTGATCTAGCTGACCAGGTGCAACATGATCCATGTGTGCAAATCCGCGTGCGTCAGCAAGGGTAACGCAGCCACATGCAGGCCATCCTTCTGCGTCGAGCCAGTCGGATAAATCAAAATCAGTCAGCTTGGGCCCCTTGGTTCATGGACCCAAACCCATGGAAGCCCTCGAACGAACTTGGAGCAGGTTCATTCCAAGATTTCTATCATTCATTCTGACGAATCCTGGAATCTCCCGGGCCGACATGACAATGAACATTCCACCTCAAGCGCACTCTCGAGCCTGCAAGAGGCGACTTAAGCACAAGGCCATGCACTCGTCTTACCTGTTTCAAGAATTGGCTCTGAACTTCCAAAGGATGTGCCGCATCGCACTGCTTGGCTCAACGGAGGGGTGCTTGGACAGCTTGTGTTTGCGCCGAACACCTGTCAGTCCAAATGCGACAACTTCTCTACCTGTCTCGGGAATCCAGACTGGAAGAATGTTGAACTGGCAGTAACTGCTGCTTTGTGACTTGCAAGGGGCATGATTTTGGCAGCACTGTTCATTGTCCCGTGGCTGCCAAACTGCTTTCTCCAGTTCGTCGATTGTGCGCGACACACGCTCGATGCTGTCACAGCTTCCAGGAGGATGCCCACGAAGGCGTGTCTGGGAATCCAGTAAGACTTGCGCGCCGCGTCCTGGGGAAAAACGGAGGCCCCGCGCGAGCTGCGCACAAACAGACACCACCTTTGTCGTGACACATCTTTCAGACTAACCATGATATGGCCGTTGATCAAACCCTGCGTCCGAAAAGAGAAGAAGAAAAAAGCCATTATTTAAGAGAAATACCATTGGTTTGCAGGGTGTGTTCTTTCGCCATTGTTGCTGCTGCAGTTGCGCTTGCAAACCCAGCAGCTAGCCCTTCACTTGCGCTGGCAAGTTTGCAGTGACGTGAATGAAAGCAGTCGCTATATGTGCCTTTCCACTTGCGCTTGCCGTCACTGCTCCGCCTTGCGCCCAACGCGCAGAACCTTGTAACAAGCTCCATGGGCGTTCCCGGGTCTTTCGAGGATCTTTTGCGACACTTGCCCCAAAAATAGCCCAGCCGTTGTTTTGCTTTGCACCATTCCCTGCAAAGGCAGGGCATCAAGAAACCCGGCACAAGTGCTGCAGATCTCCCAACAAGGAAGCCTGTAAATATGTATATAAGCGTACGAGCATGCCTCCAAGAAGCTTTCGCTAAATCTTTCGTAAAGAACAAACTCCTTCGCGGGCACAAACGCCTGCAGCGTTATGGTCCTCGACAATCTAAGTCTTTACAAGGACCTTTGGATCAATATAAGATAGTTGGGTTGTAGAATTCTGCTTCAATTGCATGACACAATAATTGATTGTGTCATGGTGGCTCGTGTGAAAAGCATGATGGAGATAACCATATACTATGCCGCCCATTTGTAACACAAGCCATGCCGGCTGTGGCTGAAGCTCCAATTTCAGCACACTCCGATCGCTAGTTTCGAAGTCATAAACTAAGCCAGCGAAATATGTTCATCCTAGAATCTCGCTGGGTCACCTCCCATTTGCATCCATTTTCTGTTGCAATCTTGGCCACATTGCCCTCTTGCCCCTCTTGGAAACCGTCCCAAACGCTGCCACGTTGACTCTCCTGTTCGCTCGATGTCTGCCAAGACCTGGAATCAAGTTGTCAGACTCATGACCTTGACAAAAGGACCTGAATCGGAAAAACAGCAAACCATGGTTTCGGCCTCACAAAACAAAAGAGTTAACACACCCAAATTAAGAAAACAAACAAAACAGACAAATCAAACCGAACAAAGCAAAACAAAACGAACCACAACGAAACAAATCAAACAACCAGCCAGTGCTTCCGGTTCCGGATTCGCGTTCAGCTACTCCTTGATGGGGTTCACCCGCTCAGTGAGGCCCTCGGGGGTGAGCACTCCGATCTTGGCGTCGGCCATGGCCACGGATTCGTCCACGAGGCGCTCGAAGAGATCCACGTTGAGAGACTTCAGGCAGTGCTGGCCCCGGCCGTCGATGAGGTACATGAAGCCCTTGCCTCCCAGGAGAGAGGAGAAAGCCTCCAAAGGAGAGGAAACAAAAAAAGGAGAGAGATGAAACGGTCTGGGCCAAAGGTTCAAAACGACGAACACTTCCCTGGACTAAACGGGAAAAAAACACACACGATGCTCGAAGAAACGGGGGTCGATGCGGATAGTTCATGATGCAAGATGTAGTTGAAGTGAGAAAACTCATGAATCAATAAAGGAAAACTCCATGCAAAGGAGAAGCGAATTAGAACCTATGGGTGTGGCGACAGAGTTAAACTTTTGCCCCCCTGCCCATGCAGCCACAATGGAACCATTCGACTCAGAAGGCACTGGACCGGCCAAGGACAGTCCGAACTGTGATAACATCTCTTCCTCTCTGGAACTGTGCTTTCCCTCACCCAGGGCACGCATCATGGCATGTTGCTGACATGCACAACACGGTCCCAGAATCTTCGTCATGATGCCCTGTCTGAAGACCCCAGGTCACCATCATCGACCATCAAGCGGATGCCTTGCTTAAACGGATCACCTTACATGGTGCCCAGCTCAGTTGATCAATCCATCGCCTGGGTCATAGGCCGCCGGGTTCGCCGAGCGCTCGTAGAGCCGCACGCGCCACTGGCGCTTCGCGAGCATCAGAGCCGCCGCCAGGCCTGCGGGCCCTGCGCCAATGACCGCGGCCACCCGGCTGGCCCCGGCCTGGCGTGCGGCATGTCTTGGCCCAGTGTTCGCATAGCTGGCCCGTACAAAAAGGCATGCTCCTTGTCTATGCTATGATTGCTAAATTACGCATCAAGGGCTCCTTTGCGCTGGGTCAACAGCTAGCAGCTTCTCAGAAAAAGGACAACGGACAAACAAACAGAGATACAGAAAATTCGAGCTACCCCGATTCTGCTTTTGCTTGTTTTTTTTTCTGCTTGCTTGTTTGCTTGCTCGCCTGTCTGCCGGCCTGCCTCCCTCCCTGCCTGCCTGCCTTCATTCCCTCATTCCTTGAACAATCTTGCTCAGCTTAAAGACCTCCCGGTGTGGGATGTTTCAGGAAGCCTAGACTCTTCACTGGTTGAAACCTGTCAAGTACCATTGAAGCACCTAGGGACCCACTGAGAAGTGGGTGTGATGTGCAAATGCACCAAAACGAGCTGGACCTACCCAAGTCGTCGTTTTTGACGCAGGTTATCTTTTCACACTCCAAAAGCAAATAATAAAATATCCTTGGGTGTATGATGAGGAACTAGAATATCGCTCCAGGCGATCCCGTTGTCACCTGTTCGGACTCAACAGCTGGGCGACTGGCCGGGATCGCACATCGTGGTTGTATGGATACCATCGACGCACAGTTTCAGTAAAAAGGGAGGAGACCTCTTTTCGTATGCGCCGTTTCTCAAAAACAAACTACGCACTAAAAACGACCCACGCCAAAAACAGTGCGCCTCCTCTGCCTTCGCCGCATGCCTGCGGCTGCGCACGGCGCGGGGCGCGGTGCTCCTGGGGGTTCGCTATGGTTGGCTGACCTCCCCCAATCCCTCGGTGTCAACCTTGCTTGTGCGCTGAAAAGCAAGCTCTGCGCTTGAAGGCAAGCTAAGCCCTCATGCGGAAAACATAATTTCACAAACCATGGGACTTGTGTACATGTGGGGTCGTGGGCTACTTTAAAACAGCATTTTGTCACAATTTATTATTTGGTGATATTTTTGATTGGAAGTCCGTACGGCAAAATTATTGCACGTTCACTCAGTTGGTGTCAATGGCTTGAAAGCCTCTCACCTCGAAGTGACAACGGTGCTCTGAGAATTGGCACCATTTCAGGGATTGGCATGTGCTCCTCCGGATAGAATTTGAAGAGTTGGATGTCCACTGCGCCGCCCTGAAAAGGGCTTCAAAAGACGGACACCAGTTCAATCCCGCAGGTCGTTTGACCATTGGCACCGTGTGCAATGCTCCTCCAGCCTTCCGCACGGACACCGGCCACGGGCGGGCCGCAAGTCCAAAGCGGCACGAAGGCTGCAAGCATTGTGGGCAAGAGGGATTGTTGTTGCAGGATGAACTGAGTGCAACAGGTACACTGGGAAACATGACATGATGACATGCTGAAGCATGGTTTTCTGCGTTGAGAGTCTTTATCGCGTAGTTTTTGTGTTGTTGTGCTTCTTGATCTGTCCATGCTTTCTGTTGGGGCTTTCCAGCCCATCTTGATGCAGCCAAGGTCGAACCAGCCAATTGAAGTTAGCCATGACGCCAACACAGGACTGCCAATCTTGAGGAGTCGAGCCAGAAAGTACGCTTTGCCCAGAACGGGGGCGATCCGACCATCTCAGCACCCATCCGGGTCAACACGAGCCCAGAGCCAGGCAAAGCATGTGCTATGGCCATGCCAGCTTTCAGCAGCAGTGGCTGTCCAATGCTGCGCGTCCTTTTGTTCCCACGTCAGCCATCTGCTTCCTTGGATGGCACGAAGAAGTGAAAGCCCAACGCCGACACCAATCTGATGCTTTCCAGGAGGTGAAAGTTGGGGAAGCGTCATACTCAGGGTCCGTGGGCTGGCCAATGGCCATCAACAAAATGCAAAGACTGGGTTTAGTGAGGAATCCTCACTATTGGAGGGGAACACCCCCATATTACCAAACCGGGGTTGATTAATATGGGGTAAACATTACAAGACTGGTGCGAGTACACAACGCAGCTCACCAGAAAATCACATTGCTGGCTCGTCATTCTCAGCCACACCTCCTCAGTCTGATTAGACACCCCAAGTTCCCCAAATTCAGATACACAAGGAACATCTGCCCATTTCACAGCTGGACGCTCATCCACAAGGCCAACTGTCCCACCCACCCCACCCCATTTTCGCGTAGCAAGCGACCGGTGCTGGACCTCTGTAGCTAGGCGTGCTTTTTCTTGGCCCCAGAAGGGCTCGTCGAAATGGAGAAATACAAAGCCAAAGCTTAGAAATTGGTTCGGTGGAAAGAATGGATGCTCACCGAGAAACCAGCGTGCAGATCATGGTGTCCAATTGTTTGGCTCGCTTCAAGATGAATGCTGAATCAAAAACAAGCCCGGGAGCCACACTGACGAAAAGCCCGATGTCATGGAAAGCACAATGTTCTTGGAGAAAGAACAATGCCTGGAGAAAGAACTGATGCACGGTGAACGACGCAAGTGGAGAAGGAACCGGCTGCCACCGGGGAAAACCCATGCCATCAAGAACAAAACGAAGGCTAAAGAATCCATGGCTGGTTCCTTGATTGCAGAATCGATCATTAGAGCTGAAATCAGATTGAAAGAAAAGTTTTGTAAAATCGTTGCAGTGAGTCATGTGAAGTCAAGCCGTAGAGCGCCGAGTCACGGCACGTGGCCCCCCCCCTCCCGGAGTGCTCGAAATCCAGGTGCGACTTGTGAGAAGCACCAACTTGTGGAAAAGAAGCAACTTCACAACCGAGGTCGAGAAGGCCAAGGACCTTGACGGATTTTTGCTCCATGGAGTGTTTGAGGATCCCCACTTGCCCAAACCAGCGGCTTCGGCCGAAGCGACAGAGCCAAGCGCCGCAGCGACCCCACCAGCCGCGGCGCCGCGGTTGGCGCCAGGCGCGCTGCGCAGGCGCCCAGCGCGTCTTGCAGGGCCTCCCCCACCTAAAGCGCTGAGATCGGGGGCGAGTCCGCGCTTCCTCTCCAGATATCTCCAGATTTTTTACGGGAGCGCGGGAAAAGTGGCTCAGAGTGCTCTTGTCTCATTCTGAACCCAATGCCTCTAAGCTGTCTGGACAATTCAGCAAACATGCCAGCCAGCAAGCGTCACTGACCCTCACGAACGCACACCCGCTATATATGAGAAATGCACCATGTTTCACAAGTGCTCCATGCACATGTAGTTGAATGGTCCGTCTTTCACGGACCATATGCTAGTAGTAGCGCGTTTGCTCCAATCACGTGGTATGATGGGATTGGCTGCATTGGCAATGCGCAAATATGATTTCAAAAGAAGCTCTGCAGATCTCCAAAAGCTGAAAGGTGCATGCAGTGTGCCCCCTTTCAGCAAAGGCAGGGCAATGCAGGGCACCGGCACGAACTGGGACTCCGAGCAAGGGGGCATGCTTCGAATGAAGCGCGAAACCCAGAATTCTGCAAGAGTTTCCCGTGAACCGCTGAAAATGTTCCCAAGGCCCACCGGCCTGCGCCTCATCTGATTCCGTCCTCAGTGCAAGCTGGTGACGGGGCCCAGTGACCTGTCGCTAAGACATGATCGATGCAGAAGCACTTGAGGTCCATAGTAAGCCAAAACTCCGTGACGTTGATTCCTCAATTGCAAAACTAAGACAATAACATTGTGAATATATATATATATATGTACATGTATATATATATATATATGTATCTATATTAATTTATTTCTTTTTTCTTTTTCTTTTTTTTTTTTTTTATGTATTTATTGATTTAAGTATACCAGGGGGGGGTTATACAAGAAAACAACAAACACCCGGCACCCCCTCGTTCCCCCTTCCCCCTTGCACTGTATTCCCAACAGCATCACAGTTGCTGACCCTTGATGACACCAAAAGGTAGCTAAGGCGTCATGTGTTGACATCATGGCTAAACCGCTCTCGTGATGGTTGACATTTGCTGATGTGCTTTTGGAATGCTTGCTTCAGGTTCGTTCCTCTTCCGTGTACCACAAGGGCATCAACAGCTCCATGCCATTTGCCGCTTTCCCACACTCCTTCCGGCACTTGGCTAAGGGGAGAGGGTGCGCACCCGGCCACCATGGTCGATCCCCACGGTGTGCCCCAATGTTAACATTGACTGATTTCAAAACAAGCTGCCGGAAGGGTCTAGGAAAATTGAACAATCACCCATCCCCGTTTGCTTTCTTGTCGGGAAAGGGGGGGGCTACCACGAATACCGGAAACACGTCGCACACCTTTGGGGCTCTGGGTTGCTCTTCCCCTCGGCACAAGGTCATTGTTTTTTTTTCGTAGGTGGCTTCCAGAAGGTCTCAAACTTGGCTTTGGGGGTCACAACATGGGGTCACCGTAGTTCCTCAAAAGTTGCGATTCGCCGGTGGGCTTCGCTCGAGAAAAATGCCCACTTTGGGAGGTTCAAGTAGGGAAATGGAGGAAACCCCTGACCAACTTCCATTTCCTTAAGCCCCCTTGGAAAAAAGAAATACCATATCTCCACTAGTGATGGATTCCCTTCCAAAAAGGGAAGGTACAAAAATATGATGTTTCCCTTTTTTGGTTGGCTTAAGCCGCCCAAATCCTGCGACGGACGCCAAAGACGGGCCATGCGGCGCCAGCAGCGCGCGGCGCCACTGCCAGGCGCCCGCAGCAGCGCTGACCGCCGCCTGGCGGCCCAAAGCGTCGATGGCCAGGCGCGCGGCCAAGCCGCGGCTCAGAAGCGCCTTGAAACCGGCCGGGGGAGGGGCGGGTGGGAATGGTGGGGTGTGGGTTGGGTGGGGTGGGGTGGGGTGGGGTGGGGTGGGGTGGGGTGGGATTGGGGGTTGGGGGTTGGGGGTTGGGGGTTGGGGGTTGGGGGTTGGGGGTTGGGGGTTGGGGGTTGGGGGTTGGGGGTTGGGGGTTGGGGGTTGGGGGTTGGGGGTTGGGGGTTGGGGGTTGGGGGTTGGGGGTTGGGGGTTGGGGGTTGGGGGTGGGGGTGGGGGTGGGGTGGGGCGGGGTGGGTATGGTGGACACTTGGGGTCGATTTTGCGACCTCCTTCTTGTAAGGTTTTGGCTTCGTAGGGTTCATGGTTGCAAAATAGACTCTGTCCGGCCGGGGGGGGGGGGAGCCTAAGTGGGTGTCGTCTTTGTCCGGTGGTACCCGTTTTCGGGTTCAAAGGGAAACCACGGAAAACATCAAATTGTTTTATGTTATGATTGTGTTTTTCTTGGGGGGGTCCCTAAGTTTTGGACAAACCCAAATGGGAGTTCTCAAAAGGGATTTTGGACTTTGGACCCCCTTTTGGTTGGTACACAGGAAAGCACAAGAAAACTGTTTTAGGGGACCACTATTTTAGGAAACAGCCAAATGGGCTGAAAAGGGTACCCTCCAGAAACAAAAACACACAAACACACACAATGGTTCTAAACAAACTCGACATGTTCTCAGACCGTAAACGGGTTCAGCATCCGGCCCGTTTACGCTCCGAGAAGGATGTCGACGCTGGGCAGGGACAGGGGGCCTACCCTCTTTCCACTTCCACGAGTTGGACAGGGAGCGCTTCCAAGAGGGCTGCAGTCTTCCAAACCCTTCTGCCAGCTTCCATGATCATTGGAAAGAGGGTGCGGTTCCGATTAGAGGGGCTTGTGAACAAGGCTCAACCAGCAACGCCCCGGTTCACATCTCGTCCATGGCCATTGGTTTGCCTTGAGCCAAGGAAAGATGCAAGGCGGACAACTACATCACACCCTGCCAACACAAGCAAGCACTTGCCATCACAAAATCCGCCTGAAACAACATGATGCACATCAAAAGTCCAACCAACAATGACCTGTTGCGTCCACACAGGTCCCCCTCCTAAACCCATCCCAGCCGGATCTTCGTCTTCGGCTTCGGATTCCTGCTTGCCGAGGTGCGGTGCTCCTCTGCCACTGGGCGTGTTGCGCCAATGCCAAAGCCAAGGCATTGCAACTCACCAGATCCGGCTCCAAGCCCCCGGCGCCGGCCTCGGAGGCTAAGTGGTGAGAGTAAGAGCCTGGTGAGAGTAAGAGCCCCCACCCAACGGAGACGGAAGAACCCATGCGGGGACCATGCGGGTTATAAGTCTGGGCAATTACCCACTTAAGTACCCGAGCGCCCTTTTCAGGAAAGGATCCCGATCCGATCTGAGACTCCAACCAAAAAGGGCTCTTTCCGTCCTTCTCAAAGGTGGAGTGCTTGGTGGCCGATATTTTTTGGTGTCGCGTTTTTGTTGTTTCTGAGGCGAGGATTGTTGTTTGGTGAGTGGTACTGCGGCTTTGTTTGAAAGTCTCTGTTGATGGGCCTGAATTGCTGGTCAAATGACAAGAAGAAATCGGTGGGGAATGTGGGGCAAAGCTCCCGAAAAGGGCTGGGCTGAGGGGGCACGTTGAGGGCAGAGCACAGGCCTCCGTACCGGAAAAGGAAAGGACGCATTGCATTTGATGCCAACCTCTTGACAAAGCACAGGTGAAGCTGAGATGCGGCCTACATTCAGCCATTTGGCGCAACAAAGAAGGGACAAAAGCTGATAGGCATGCTGCATTCTCGGGCTCCCTATCATCGTGATCTGCTGTCATGTTTCTTCGCGCGCGAGTCTGCTGCACTTCCCATTGCGAAGGGATGCCGATGGGTCATCTTGACCAAGATTGTGTTCATCCCAAAGGAACTTAATGGTAGTTCTGAGTGACATCAGTTGAGTGTGTGCAATTGTTTTTTCAAAGCCAGAATCCGGGATGGGACCTATGGGTTCAAAAGCCGCCAACGGACCGGAGTTCTCTGTCAGGCTCAATGACGCGGAATGCACGTCTCATGTCACAGCGTATCTCCCCCATCGCAAGGCGAGTGCGGTACCAAGGAAGTACTGTGGATGGACGAACTCCTGCACCGCTTTGAAGCCATGGAAAACCTTTGTTGGTTGGTATTTGCAGGGGAATCATTCCATGGTTCTTAGGTGGTGCAGGATTTCGTCCATCCACAGTAGGATTGCTTTTGAGTGGCGAGGCATTGTCTCGCCATTCATGAAGCTACTCGACGATCCTGAAATCAAGTGTGTCGAAGTCAACGGAGGGAATACAAACATCCCAAGGAGTCCCCATACGCAAGCAATGGACAATTGAGACCACCAGTCCAAAGCAGAGCTTGAGCTCCACTGCGAACTCTGGTCCGTGTGCCAAGATTAGCGTCTTGCCCCCGTTTTTTTCCTCAGGGCCCACAAGGAAGCGAACCCTGCGGGGTGACATCCTGGGATCAACCATGGCGGGTCATATCTCTACTCAGGATGTGAAGGCCAGAAAGCATCGCCCCCCCCCCCTGCTTGCCCTCGAAACAAAAGCGCCAAACGGGGTTCGAAAATTCTCAGACACAACGCAAATCCCCCTGATTTTTGTCGGCCGAACCCAGCTGTGTAGCCTGTCCCAGCAGCTGCCCCGCCCGGCGCCAGCGGCCCAGCTGGCCTCTTTCCTACAGCTGACGCAGTGGAAAGTCCCCCGCAACGAAGAAGGTCAAGATTGATCTAACGGCTTCTTGGGTTCTATCTTATCTGAATGAAGATGCTCAGAAATTCCAAGCAGATGCTGGCCCGAACCCTCCTGGTTACTCTCCGTGTCAGCACCGCCGCTGATGGCGGCGTTGAGGCCAAAGAGGTCCACAGCAAGGCCTCCCAAGCGCAAAAATCGGTTTGGAGGGGGCTCTGTGCATTCTCCTCTTGGCACACCCAAGGGCCCAAGGGTCACAGGAAGGGTCGGGGCTGAAGGATATCCAGGAATCTGGCTTGGAACCTGGTGCGCACAGCAAGGATGCAGGATGCATGGCATTCCTGCTTCAGGCAATGGCAGGCAATCCAGTACTGGTCTCCACATTGACGACATGAACCTAAAGCAAGTTCACCCTTTTCTGCTCTGACTTTGGAAGATCCCGTCTCATGCAATCAATTCCAGCCTGCGGATTCAACCAAGGTGGGTGTGTCTATTTTAGGGGACCCCCCCAAAAAAAAAGAAAGAAAGAAAAGAAACGCAACAAAACCAAACATGATGCTGGTTGTCCTCTTGGATTCCCTTGACACCAATAGAACAGGGGGTTCCTCTTTTAAAGACAGCGCCAGGTCGACGATCGCAGGGGTTCCTTCTGCCGCTTGCAGCTCCAGCAGCCGCAGCTGCAGCGGCCAGCGCCGGGTGCAGGCGCTGACGCAGGCGTTCCAACTGGTGCCCTCTGCTCGGAGGTGGCGCCGCACCATGGCGCGCAGCGCCTGCCAGCTTCGATCCCAAGAAAACCAAGGCGACCCCGAGTGATTTAGTGATTTAGAGTGATTTAGAGTGGTTTACTCGAAATCAAATGAGTCAAGGAGTCCCATCTGACTGGATCACTTCTGGGCCCTCAACTCACTGGCTGACTGGATGGCCCAAACAAAGTCCAAACTTTATATTTACCGCTAAAATGGTCTTACCAAAACGTTTAAAGTTCATGAACTCAGGAAGTGAGTCTATCCCTCAACCCGAAAGACATGAAGACACGCTTTTGAACGGCGTAGCAAGTCGGTGTTCAGCCCAATCCTGGCGTAGTGTCAGCTCCACTGAGCTGAGCCCAGACACAGAGGTTGTTCTAAGAAGGAAATCCTTGCTCCCTACTTGCAATGTTCGAGGCTTCGACTGTCCAACCAACTTAATCTTCCTGTTCTGTTCCAGTCCGTGTTCGAACTGAAACATATGAAAGTCAGACCAGTATACGATAGTTTAGCCGTGCTCTCTTAACTTTTGGTAGCTATTTCTCAAACAAGGGGGTAGCGGGTACCTGTGGGGAGGGGTCTCAAAAAGACACCATGTCATTCTGCAATCATCAGGCACTCGTATGCTTGGGTTCTGCCCTGCGCAACTGCACTGAACCAAACGGCGATAAGGGTGGGCCTGATCGAACACAAACACGTAGATGCTGAAGGCTCATTCAAAGATGGCGACTGCCTGATGGCAGTTAGCGCGACATGATTGGCAGAGTGATAGCAAAGCCGGTCCGGTTCTGTTGTCCTGACATTTTCTCACGGAGGCATGTTGCAACTGCCCTTATCATCAAATTGCAGTATACCGAAGCCCCCTGATGAATTCGATCCCCTCCGTCTTCGTTTCAGAAAAGGTTCCGATTGGAACAAAAGGAGCTGCACAAATCACCCTGCAAACAGCGGATTGGTTGAATGATGTTGAATGCTGGGGACCACACACCCTTTCAATCCACCGAGGTTGCACTCGGGAGTGACTCCTGTGACAAAGAACACAACACTCATGGGGCCTGCGGGGAGGGTGAGGATAGGGCCTGATTCAGGGCTTCCTGCCCCCTCTCCTCCCTCCCCAGGCCCCACGAAACACGAAAGCAAGAAATATGTTAAAGTTTATTCTAGGTGTCTCCACCCAAAGCAATCCTGTTTGCCTTTCAAACCTGAGTTGCCACGGGCAAAAAGGACCAATATGCCCACATCCCAAATCATTGGCGGGGTCGTGAAAACAACTCAGATACCAACATTGCCCCTTTCAGGTGAACCCAAATTGGTGGTTTGGATTGGGGGATTTGAACCCCTTCCAAGCCAACAGTATAAACCAATTAGAGGGAAGCTGACCCAACCACCCAACCACCAACTGGAGGGAATCTGACCCAACCACCCAACCACCGACTGGAGGGAAGCTGACGTTTTTGGGGGAGAAAACTTCCCAACAAGCGGACGTTGCGTTGCGACGGAGCCTTCACGGCCTGGGTCCACTCCCCGCTTTTGGCGCAAGAGGAGATCCCCGCGTTGCACAGCGGCCCGCTGCCGTGGGCGACACATGCGGCGGCCCCAACCACCCCTAGCGCCTCAGGCAAAAGAATGGAGTCCGCAAATGTTGCAAGCAAACCATCCACAAACCATAGCTTCATCCCAGTGATGTAACAGGGTGTGATGTACTCCCTGCAATGTTTGGGGAAACAACTGTTTCTGAGGCACCGAATTTGCATTCAAAAACACACTGGAACCCTTCGTCTTGGTGACTAGGGAGGCAAAGGGACTTCCCAAATCACCGGGCCATGGAAGCCAAAGAAAGGCACATCGCAACTTTCAGCTGGGGAAAGGCTGGTCAACATCAGCGAGGGAGGGGGGGAGGGAAGAGTTCAAATGCCAGGAAGGGCACCGAAGAAGTGGTTGTGTGGGAAAGCAGCATGAAACCCTGTTTAACAAACAGCAAACAATCGGCAGTCGTTCAAACCAGGACCCGGCGGTGTTCGCCAGAGGTCACAAGCAGCCCAGGGTGCACCAGCCCCGTTTTAAGACACGCCCGCATAGAAATCCGGCCGTGGGTCAAAACCAAAATGATCCCATTTTGGGGTAGCTGAATTCACAACCCCTTTTAGAACCTATTGTAGTGGGGATTGGGATGTTCACTGGGGGCACGATTTGGATTTTCACCCATGGCCAGATGGGTATGGGTCAAAAATAGGTACCCAAAAATAGAACCCTGGTAAATGGAATAGATTAAAACTTGCGGTCCATATCCTGGTGGTTTAGTTTTGACTCATACCCAGATCCGGCCATGTTAGAACCTGTTTTAGTGGGGATTGGGATGTTCACTGGAACCCAACCGGCGGGGTTTTCACCCATGGCCATATCCATCATCTTGAAATCAGCTAAGTTGCGTGTGTCTATTGTTTCAGGTTTCACCTTTAACCAACATGAAACCCTGAAGACTCCACTGGAACCTAACCGGGGTTTTCCCCCACCATATCCCCAAGACCGTTTAAAACGGACATGGCCGCATGAAATCTCCGGCGCTCCTGCTCCCAGCAGCTGCTCTTCTCGCAGCAGTTGCAGCAAGCGCCATAGGCCACCGCGTCCAGCGCCAGCCGCAGCTGGCGGCCCCGGCACAGCAGCTGCAAACTCTCCTCGTCTTCCGAATCGGGCCAACCTCCCAAAACAATGGCTGCGGGTGAAAATGGGTACCCAACATATCCCACAATGGAACCCTGGAAAATGTCCGGTTGGTCTCCGATTGAAAGCCGCAAAAAGGGGGGCATCCCTGTTCAAAGACATACCCAGATAGCAATCGGAGCCAGTTTCACTGCGTTCATGTGTGCATTGGCACGTCTTGGGTCAGTGAAACATGCCAAAGGCCTTCTACTAACTTGGAACCAAACAAGAAAAGCTGGCTGTAGTTCCAAGATTCGGGTCAAGATAGTAAAACTACCTACTGTGGATGGACGAAATCCTGCACCACGCAAGAACCCATGGAATGATTCGATTTCCCTGTAAATACCAAGAAAGAACGGTGGACACCCATGGCTTCAAACTGATGCGAAATGGATTTCGTCCATCAATATCAAAAGAACGAAAGAGAGCAAAACTACCCCCAAGAAAGGGGTGCTATCATTTTGCTTAAAGACACCCATTCCCCCTACCCCCCTACCCCCAACAAAGAGGTGCTATCAAAAGAAAGACACACCCTCATTCCATCCCACGCACGCGGAGAAGGACTGCAGCCAGCCGCCAGCTCGCCCTCTCCTGCCAGTCGCCCTCGCAGGCGGCAGCGGCGGCGCTGTAAATGACCTGGCTGCCCCGACGACGTCAGTAAGGCAAAGAATGCGCTTGCTTTCCAGATGGGTGACTCAATTTTTGGGGGACCACAAATCAGATGGTGTTGCTTTTGGCTTCCTTTTAAGCCACAAGCAGAAACTCACCCTCCATCACAACACACACACAGATGGGCCTTCAATATGCGAAAGACACATCGCCATCAAACCCACAGTTCATAGTCTCATCAAACCCACAGCTCATTGTCGCTAGGCAACACACGCTCAGCTCCAATTGTGGACATAGCCGCCGTGAGCTTGCAAAAAACACCGTTAAGGTGTTGTCTTGCAGCCCACCGTCACATTGACATGAGTCGTCCTGACACCAAGCATTGTGGTAAAGGACCAACGCTGGATGCAATTGAGAAGCTGGTGCCGGCCAACATGGGAACCATAACGTTGAAACGTTTTATAGCCGCTCATCTGCGTGTGTCTTTCAAGCGAGGTGTTAAACTCCAAATTGGCCGTATGTCACAACCGGGGCCCGTCCAAATCGTTGGTTTCGTGATGGGCCCTTTGGATACAGTGCCTGCTTTTGACAACAACCCCACTTTTGAAGGCAAACACTTGGCTTCTTCTCTGTGACGAGGACTGATAATCCACCAAGCACAAATTAGTGAAGCCCTGCCGACTACACAAAAAGCCCCCCTAAAAGAGATATCTATAACTCTGCTCTTGGCATTCCTCCCGTATTCCATTTGTGAATGTGCCAAAACTCCAAACATTTGGTGACATTGCTTTTGAGTAGGCTGTTGTCAAATCAAACGAGCTCTCTTGTTGGTTCCTCCTCCAAATATATAAAAACCAGCATGAACCCATGGCCCATGTTGTTTAAGGGCACTGAAAATCGCAGCTTCCCCCTCCCTTCCAACCCCCTCCAAACCCAATTTCTGGAAAGCCCCCGGTTGCCTGGACGCCCCCCTCTTTCCCACCCTACCACCTCGTTGGTGGGCAGCTTCCGCTCCTCCAAAACGTCCAACAGCTGCAGCGCCCGCTGCCTGCGGCAACTGTGTGCGTGGTGGATGGACGAAATCCATTTCGCACCACCTGGGAAACATTGAACGATTCGATTCCCCTGCAAATACCAACCTACAATGGTTTCAACCATGGTTTCAAAGTGGTGCGAAATGGATTTCGTCCATCAGTATCAAAGAGTGTGGTTTTGGCTGAACCGAACTCCGTGCTCAGTGCGTCAGCATGAACATTAAACACATTCACAACATGCTGCACAATGTGTTTGTGTCTGTGTCCGTGTTTGCAAAACATCTTTGCCGTAGATCTCCTTTTGGAGGAACTTGAACCCTTTGGGTAGGGAAACAAGAAGGACACCACCATGGCTCTTGGCAGGCCATGCACCGAAACCGAAACCGAACGTTGGGAGGTGGAATTTGGCATCCGGATCCGGACCGCTGAGCAACCGCTGGAACACTCACCTCAAAAAGTAAGGGGCACGCGTTTCGTTCCCCAAGGTAAGTGAGAGAAACAAAGACCGATGTATTACTTGCCTTTTGCCAAAGGAAGCCACATGGCTGTGGCTCAAAAAACCGGAATTCCAAAATGGAACCCTGGCAAGTGGAAACATGGACCAAAACCTGCGGTTTGCCCCTCCGATCGTTTCATTTTGAGCCACAGATCCCTTTGACTGCCCTGCCTCTGGGCGGCCCGCGCCAGGCTGGTCATGACTGCACCGAAGGTCACCACATCAGCTGTGGGCAGCTCCTCCAGCCTTCGCCGGTGCTTTCCGGGCTGTGCGTCGGTCTCTTGTCACTTGGCTGTGGGTCAAAAATCGATTACCCAAAATGGAACCCTGGTAAATGGAACCGAGGACTAAAACCTGCCGTTCCCAGGTGTTTTAATTTTGACCCATACCCACTTCAGTTGGTCAAAGGTCACGAAAACCGCGTGCTCACTTCATTGCCCCCAACTATACTTTGGTACCCTGCCCAAATAACGGGACCTCAAAAACAAAAGTGGATTTCCTTTTAGTCCCCCTTTAGCCCAAAAGAGTACCCTTCACAACAATATTGACCCCTCCGATCCGGGGGGGTTCTCAAAACAGCCATAATAACAAAGTGCACTAGCTTCCTTTAGCAACAGCTTCCGAAATCGATGAGCTCCCATCCGGGCCACAAGGCCACAGGCACCTTTACCCATGTTGGGGGTTCCCATCCGCGTGGTTTCGCCACCCATCCCGCATCTCGCAAACGCGCCGCGCCGCGCCGCGCCGCGCGGCGCCAATGCGCCAAACGCGCCGAGGCGCAGGTGGAGGCTCCAGGCCCACGCCTCCCCCAGCGCCGCCAGCGCCGTGTTCACCGCCACCGGCGAGGCGTTTCCGGCGGCGAAGCGCGAAGGCGGCAGATCGAGGCCCGCGGCGCGCTGCTGGGCCAGGATGGCCAGCCCGCAGCGCCACTCCAGGTTCGGGCCTCAAGAGTTGAGCCGTGTGTTCAAGAGCTGCTTTGGACTTTTCATTGTTGTATTTCGTTCGAGTCAAAAGGGTCAGACAGCCACCCCCCTCTTTTGTCTCATTGTCTGCCTGCAGCGGAGATCAGCGTGTGGAAGCTCACGGCATCGGGCTGAAGCGATGCCGAGAAGGAGCGGAGGAGCTGCCGGGCCAGTGCCAGCTGGCCCGCCACGGCGCAGGCCCGGAGCGCGCTGTTGAGGGCCTCAAGTGGGGGGCTGGGGCTGGGGGATGAAACGACAAGGCGGCATCAACGGCATGGGCGCGCCCATGTAGACAAAGAGGCCAACATAAACCAGGGAACCACGATTGGCACACCCACGCCTTGTGCACGACCCTGATTGACGCCCCAACTGCGCTAATGTCTGCTTGGAGATTGGCGGGCACTATTAACCTGGATGTGGGCTCAATATTCAATGGTTTGGCAGCCTATCGGATCCAACAAATACCTCCCCCTTTTTGAGTCGACGCGGCCACGGTGTCCGGCCACAGCCGCCGGTTTGGCAACTGCTCCAAGATAACCAGGGACCTTGACCACTGCCTGGCCCAGGTGCGATCCTAGTTCGCGCATACCTTTCGATCAAAGTCGTTTCAATCGTCCTTCTGTTCAAAAACAGCCCTTCCCCTTGTGGTTTTTGGTGTTGGCTGGACGCGGGCCAACAAGTTGCTCCAAAGGCACTGAATCTTGATCAACCACGGTACTTGTACGGGGAGTTGCTCTCCTATAAACAACTAAAACCAACACACAAAACAACAAGCATGCCTAAGGAGTTTGTCACTGAGCGCACAGCCGTGACCTGCTTTTCCCAGTCCTTGCTCGGTGCGAAAAGAAACATTGCGCCATTGTGCTCACACAACGTGGGTTTACCGTTTCCACGGCCCTTTCCCCTTTTGGTGGCTCGAATCAAGAGGCCCCCTTCAAGAAGCCATAGAGACCCTCACAGCGGGGCGGTGCTGCCCCCCTCTGCTTGCAGATGCACAAATGGCCATGGGTAAAAAATCCCGCATTTTCGGTGAACATCAACCAATCCCCACTAAAATAGACTAAAATGGGTGGTGCACCTACCCCAAAATGGTACCATTTGTTTTGACCCACGGCCACACAAAACCGCCCGCATGTTGCTCGCCGCGCAGCGGCCCCCGCAACGGCCCCCGGCCCCCGGGGTCCAGCCTCACATCCTTAGCGCAGGCGGCCATGGCAGCGCTGCTGCCAATGAGGCTGGGCGCGCCCCCCCAGCCCTCGGATGCCCATAGACCCGTCTTCGGGTTGCGTCTTCGGGTTGCGTCTTTGGGTTGCCAAGCCGGAAAAGTAAAAAGCCTTGTGTTCGTCAACTGCAGCCAACTGGAAAAGCAAGCATGCTACGGAACTTCACAAGGGACAACAGTTGCTGATGCCATTTCTTCTTTTTGCGTTGCCCAAGATTGAGTTTGTGTATGCAGCTGGTGAAGTGGCCTTGCGTGAACTTGCTTGGGCGATTTGCTCGGTTTGGTCATGTCAATGTGATATCTTGCCTCGGAGGCAATTTGGATCACAGGCATGTTTTTTCTTGAGGCCAACCCTCCAGGTGCTGCGTCGACATACCCTCCCTCTTCTCAGCCTAGTCTTGAGCTCTCTCCGAATCTTCAGGGAAGACCCCATGTAAGATGTCTGACAGGTCACCCGACCCATGCTCAGTCATACCCGACCCTCACAGAAACAGTAAGTTTTCCATGGTCAACATGAAGATGCACAGTTGCGCCTGTGCGGCAATACTGTCCGGCAAGCTCTTCCGCAACGCTCCGACAAGTGCTCCTCCTGTGAGCTCCACAAGTCACTCTTAGGATAATACGAACGCTCCAGGGCGCTTCTGCCCACCCATTTCAGGCCGCTTGTTGAACAACTCTACTTGCAAACCATGTGCTTCCCCCAATTCAACCACAGTGCGAGAACCTTCCTGCTACAACTAAAACAACAACTTCAAACCAGTGCCTGCCACGACCACCTGCAAAACACTCCTTGGCAAATGGTTGCAGCATTTGGCCTGATGAAACACTCACTTTGCATGGCAAACCAACGCAGTCACAACACACACGCACACACCAAGTTGACTGATTAGTGACACGTCGTCAGCTTGTGGACCTCGTGCGGCCCATTGGATCATGGTTTGGGAGCCAAGTTTCGGCCTCCAGCAAGGACAGCGCCAGATACCAGCGGCCACCCTTCTCGCAGGCACTGAGAACCTTGAGCCGCTCTGTGAGGACAAAAAACAACAACTCTTCCCATTCACTCGCAAAACCAACACAGCACAAATGAAAGGCACGTCTTTTTAGGCTTGCCTTTCCATACAAGTGAAACATAAGTAGAAAGCCACATGGGCCCAAGGCTGGCTTTCGGCTGAGACCAAGCGCGGAACATCACTGACTCACCGGTCATAAAAAGCCGCGTCGACTTATAACGGTTTATCCTGCTGCCCACACATGGAGACTTGCCCGCACCCTTCTTTTGCTTCGGCAGAACAACACCATCCTCTGCTCCCCCTAGCTGTCAGAGAAATTGGAACCATAAGAGAATATCCAAAGCACATTGCATCAATCAGTGCAGCAATATGCGAATTGAGCACGCACTTCCCTTGGATCCTTTGATTATGACACTATATAAATTGTGAAAGAAAGAAGTGATGAATAATGAGAAGACTATTGACCCCTTCAAAAGGCAGCTTTCCCTTCAAGCACATGATCCCACGAGCACTTGCACCCTTGGGATGTGCAAATTATCCTACCGCCATCGGTGCAACACTGCTTGGTGGCTTGGGCCTTTCGTAGGGTTCATGGGGCCAGGTTTAGAGCGCTCGGTGTTTGCCCCATTGTTTGTGGCTTGGCTTCAGGGTTGCATGGCTGTCAGATTTTGGCGAGTGATTTTGCACACCCAAATTGAAGTGAACATGAAGCCGGGAGTCTGTTTTCTCAGCTCAACATAGCAAAGGTGTGTCTCTCTCTCTCTCTCTGTCTGTGTCTGTGACACTGTGTGTTTTGTCTGTGTCTCTGTGTGTCTTTGTCTTGTCTTGGTTGCGTCCAAGTAATTGCAAAATTCGCTTTCAAGAGAAGCGAACAACACATCTCGGCGAAGGCCCTTTTGAGGGCACCCAACACTTTCGGCATGCAATAATTGGGGCAAGTTCGCATATCCCCCGACAGGGAACCTCTTTCTTTCCTTTCCAAGCAGACATTTCGATTTAGAGCACCATCATAGTCTAACTTTCCCTGCGGCTTTAGGGGAGCCCAACCCCATTCATTCCCAGCATTGAACGACCCCCCCACGGCGGCCCCGACCTTTTTGTTGCCCCGGGCGCCGTGTTCCGCGGCACCTCCGAGGCCCAGGGCTCCAGCAGCGCCACGGCCGCCGGCCACGCGGAGCCGCGCTCCGCGCCGCTGAGCAGCGCGCCGTTGACGAAGGCGTCCCCTGACGAAGGCGTGCCGAGGGCGGCCGAGGGCGGCCGAGGGCGGCGGACGCGGAGGTGAGCGCTTGATGGCTTGATGGCTCCTCTTCCTTTTTTTCGGGCTCGGTGTCTTTGGTTGGGTTCTAAGTTTGAGGCTCGGTGTCCGTGGTTGGTGTTGAAGGGGACACAGAAAGGAAGCCGCTGCTAATGATGGTGGGGGTCCCCCTGGAAAAACACACACCCGCATGGAGCTAAAGGGCAAACCTGGTGAAGGATTCATCAAATGGGTCGCCTTTTACACACAAAGGAACTTAGCAAGCAAACTGGGTTCTCCCTGAACCAAGCGATTTCCACGCAACTTTAATGTCAATCTTGGTGGTGCAGGGACTGGTTCCCTATTTCGGGCGGAAAAGGGGGGGCCAAGAGGTGATGTTTCCCAGCCACCAAAAGGGGAACGAAGAACCGTTTGGAACCCTGACCAGAACTCCGGCATCGGCTCACTTCCCGAGTGGATGGCCCCCCCAAAAAAAACCGCCCCTTCTCTTTATTTACCACACCGAAGTGGTCCAAACCCAAAAAGTCCAAAAGAAAAAATACCCAGGAACTCAGGAAGTGCGTTTCACCCCCAGACAGGCGAGAGTTCTTTCAACAACAAAAAAGGCCGCCGGCGCGCCTCTCAGCCCGGCGGCTGCCATGGCCTCCACCAGGCCCAAGGACACCGGCCACTTCCCCGCGCGGCTGCAGGCGCTGAGCACCTGGACTTCTCTCTCGACGGCCCCCAAACCGTTGGATCCGGATGCATTTTACACCTGCGACAGGAGTTCTATCCCCGCCCCAAAAGCCGTCCATAAGCAAACGCCACCCCTGCTGTTAAGGGGGAGGGGGGTGGGGGTAATTCTGGTACACCTGAACATTGCCTTGTAAATGGCAAGGTGTCCCTTCATTTTGGTGTTGAAAAAGCAGCATGTTAAAAATGGTTGCAAAATGTATCTTTTAAGGCGTCCATAACCAAACGGCACCAACCGCATCCCCCCTGCATTTAAGGGGGAGGGGGGTGGGGGTCCCCTTCCATTGGTCCAGTCTTCCCCATAAAAGGGAAAACGGAACCATAAGTAGAAGTCCAGGGGAACCCCCGTCCCCCAATTCCATTTTTGAGGGGGCGGGGATCCAGTCGTGCGTACCAGCTGGCCACTGGCGTGAAGGAACACCAAGGCAGCAATATCGATGACAGCTGCGACCCGAACCACCCGCCCTGGATCCAATCCTTGCGCTTACCCGACCTGCCATGGCCAATAATCTAGGTTTCTTTTCAACTCAGTGATGATTCTGCGACGTCACATGAATCCAGCAGCTGGTCCCTCCTGGATCCACGTCTTCCCTTGCAAACACCAAAGCTGCTGGACTCCTAATTGCGCTTTTGAAGGGTTGTGCAGCTTCCTCCAAATGTGTGCTGGCGTCATGTGATCCACTTTCAGCAAGTCATGGCAGGCGTCAAAACTGATGTGATCGCTGAGGAGCCTCAAAAAATTAGTCCATGTAGAACTGCAGTTAGCTACCCTCAGGCATGGAGTCATCGTATGCACGGCGCCTGCATCTTCTCCACTAAAACTGGTCAAGAAGTCCCAAGCCGGACACAACTCAGGTCACAACGGACCAGCCAGCTGGCGTTTTCGCCCAGAGCCTCCTCCCAAATCGGCCCCGCGCCACGTGCTCGCGCGCGTAGCCGCACCTTGGTGGGCTCGGCCAAGGGCAGCCGCGCCAGGCCCATCTCGCAGAGCCCGGCCAGGGCCTCCGCCCAACGGTCGCGGCCATGTCCGCCAGCCGTGCCGGACCTCCGGGCCATCTTAGAACTGGCACCTACGGCTCTTAAGGGTTCAGGTCAGGTCCGAAGACAATGTGGACCTAAAAAGGGGCTTCATGTCTGCCTTTTCAACCTCACCGCTTGGCCACTCCCACTCAAAAGTGCCAGCAGATCCGAAACCGATCAGCCAATGGAAGGTGCCAGCGGTGTCGAATTCTTCCGAGCGCTAAACAGGCTGCAGAGTGGCGCACAAACCTCAGCTCAACCTTTGCCATCGATATAGAAAGTTCGATGGAAGATCGTGGCTGGTAGCTTGTAGCAGCTTCTGCCAGTTTGCAGTGGGAGTTGCAAAGCCCGAAGTTTCAACAACCACCCACACCACAGAAACAATCGGGAGAATCAGGGATAGGTGACCGCGAGTACAATTGAGAGATCGGAGACATCAGGCAGTAATTGATGTATTGGCTAAACCAATCCTCTGCCTACCTGTCTGTGCACTGCCTTGGAAAAGCAACACATGTCACCACAGGATGAGGGCAAAAGCATATGGGAACAAGCTCCTTCTGGCTCCTGGCAGATACATATCAACACAAGGCCAACCCTGCCTGCAAAATGAAAAGCCGGTGCTTTGCTTCTTTTGCAATGCCTTCTGCGATCTCAGATCCGCCGCACAACCGTGCGCAACAAGCGGGGCTGCAAACGTGGCACTGTGCTTGGATCATTGCAAAAAAAAAAAAACATCGTTGCTTCTGACTCATGCCACATGCCAATGTGGCTTCGAGACTGAGCTTGCTTCCAAGCACAAGCCCTTGCTAGCAGAAAATTGGATAGACCAAATGGTATGAGAATCGCCGCAAGCGCAGCTCTGTTGGCAGCTCGCAGCAAGCTCGTGCTTCGCAGCATGGTGCCGGAAGCCAAAGCATGAAGGTACTACATGTACATCATGTAAATACTAAATACATATGAATGATTCTACACGCCGAACTGTTCAATACCAGCCTTGCCGGTGTACAGGCCAGCTGCAATTTGGCCAATTGCCGAAAACATTGCGATGCGGCCGTTGTTGAGCTCTCCTCTGCTGCACCCACACCAAACATCACAACAGGCTGCACAATTGATTAACAACGTGAACAGTTACACAACAGCTGAAATGATATGCCAAGCATCGTGCTCGCATCTCGTCGGAATAGTCGTCGAACCAAGGGACCGGATTCCCAAAGTTTCCCGGCTCCTTGCTCTCATCCTGCACGAAAACTGTCGCCTCCAACACAGCGATGATGCCAATGGTCAGCAGGAAGCCAACTTGCCCGTTGCCCACAGTGCACGCCGTGACATCCTTGGGCACACCTTCCATGCCAGGAAGAGTCACCAGGCTCTGTGTCAACATTCCAAGTGCTCCCATCCTGAGTGGCTCAACTTCCCCGGTGCAATTTACTTGCTTTCTGTTTAGGCTGTTAAAATCACATGTTCTCCCCGAAAGTTGAAATCCAAAGATTTGAAACCAAATAGCAGCCAAGCATCATTGCCAATCGGCCGTGCTTGATCTCCTTGGCTCGCAAGTCCTTGAAAGCAGCCTCGTCCGTGCAGAAGCCCGCAGGGTCGAAGAAGCCCAAGGGTTCCATGGCACCGATCTGAGATTCCTTGCTGAAGTTGCAGACCACCTTGGCCTTGCGAGGCCGTGCAAAGCTCACCATGGCGGCGCCCGAGACGCCGGAAGCAGCCAGCATCGAGAAGGTGCCAAAGCTAGACCCCGAGGCGGAGCTTGCCGATGTCGTTCCTCGCAGCCCGGAGACCTGGGAAGACTGGGAACCTGGTACGACAAAGGCATCCGCAGGCGCGGCCAGCATGCTTGCAGCCAGCATGCTCTTCATGGACGCCATCAGTCAAAGTGAGTCAAGTGACTCAGTGGGCCTCGCAAAGCCCAAAGATTCAACAACAGCCTACAGCGCTGGAGCAAACATAAATGCGGCGACATGCGGCGACCGATGCTCGGCCGAAACCCGTCTATGCCTCAACTATGTATGGCAAAACGGCAACATTCAGCATAACATGGCACTAGTATGGCATATGGTCAAACGTGTGGTGCAATACGTCCTCTACGAGTCCAGAACATGAGCCCGGAGCGACCCCCACGTTGTGGGCAAAAAACCGTGGCACCTGTCATTGTCCGTCTGACACCTGATGTCCCGGCGTCCATCCTGAGGTCATGTCACTGTGGCTGAACCCTGCCGGCGACATGAAAAACCGGTGCTTTGCTTCTTTCTGCAATGCCTTCTGCGATCTCAGATCCGCCGCACAACCGTGCACAACAAGCGGGGCTGCAAACGTAGCACTGTGCTTGGATCATTGGAAGAACAACATCGTTGCTTCTGACCATGCCACATGCCAATGTAGCTTCGAGACTGACCTTGCTTCCAAGCACAAGCCCTTGCCAGCAGAAAATTGGATAGACCAAATGGTATGAGAATCGCCGCAAGCGCAGCTCTGTTGGCAGCTCACAGCAAGCTGGTGCTTCGCAGCATGGTGCCGGAAGCCAAAGCATGAAGGTACTACATGTACATCATGTAAATACTAAATACATATGAATGATTCTACACGCCGAACTGTTCAATACCAGCCTTGCCGGTGTACAGGCCAGCTGCAATTTGGCCAATTGCCGAAAACATTGCGATGCGGCCGTTGTTGAGCTCTCCTCTGCTGCACCCACACCAAACATCACAACAGGCTGCACAATTGATTAACAACGTGAACAGTTACACAACAGCTGAAATGATATGCCAAGCATCGTGCTCGCATCTCGTCGGAATAGTCGTCGAACCAAGGGACCGGATTCCCAAAGTTTCCCGGCTCCTTGCTCTCATCCTGCACAAAAACTGTCGCCTCCAACACAGCGATGATGCCAATGGTCAGCAGGAAGCCAACTTGCCCGTTGCCCACAGTGCACGCCGTGACATCCTTGGGCACACCTTCCATGCCAGGAAGAGTCACCAGGCTCTGTGTCAACATTCCAAGTGCTCCCATCCTGAGTGGCTCAACTTCCCCGGTGCAATTTACTTGCTTTCTGTTTAGGCTGTTAAAATCACATGTTCTCCCCGAAAGTTGAAATCCAAAGATTTGAAACCAAATAGCAGCCAAGCATCATTGCCAATCGGCCGTGCTTGATCTCCTTGGCTCGCAAGTCCTTGAAAGCAGCCTCGTCCGTGCAGAAGCCCGCGGGGTCGAAGAAGCCCAAGGGTTCCATGGCACCGATCTGAGATTCCTTGCTGAAGTTGCAGACCACCTTGGCCTTGCGAGGCCGTGCAAAGCTCACCATGGCGGCGCCCGAGACGCCGGAAGCAGCCAGCATCGAGAAGGTGCCAAAGCTAGACCCCGAGGCGGAGCTTGCCGATGTCGTTCCTCGCAGCCCGGAGACCTGGGAAGACTGGGAACCTGGTACGACAAAGGCATCCGCAGGCGCGGCCAGCATGCTTGCAGCCAGCATGCTCTTCATGGACGCCATCAGTCAAAGTGAGTCAAGTGACTCAGTGGGCCTCGCAAAGCCCAAAGATTCAACAACAGCCTACAGCGCTGGAGCAAACATAAATGCGGCGACATGCGGCGACCGATGCTCGGCCGAAACCCGTCTATGCCTCAACTATGTATGGCAAAACGGCAACATTCAGCATAACATGGCACTAGTATGGCATATGGTCAAACGTGTGGTGCAATACGTCCTCTACAAGTCCAGAACATGAGCTCCGGAGCGACCCCCGCGTTGTGGGCAAAAAACCGTGGCACCTGTCATTGTCCGTCTGACACCTGATGTCCCGGCGTCCATCCTGAGGTCATGTCACTGTGGCTGAACCCTGCCGGCGACATGAAAAACCGGTGCTTTGCTTCTTTCTGCAATGCCTTCTGCGATCTCAGATCCGCCGCACAACCGTGCGCAACAAGCGGGGCTGCAAACGTGGCACTGTGCTTGGATCATTGGAAGAACAGCATCGTTGCTTCTGACCATGCCACATGCCAATGTAGCTTCAAGACTGACCTTGCTTCCAGGCACAAGCCCTTGCCAGCAGAAAATTGGATAGACCAAATGGTATGAGAATCGCCGCAAGCGCAGCTCTGTTGGCAGCTCACAGCAAGCTGGTGCTTCGCAGCATGGTGCCGGAAGCCAAAGCATGAAGGTACTACATGTACATCATGTAAATACTAAATACATATGAATGATTCTACACGCCGAACTGTTCAATACCAGCCTTGCCGGTGTACAGGCCAGCTGCAATTTGGCCAATTGCCGAAAACATTGCGATGCGGCCGTTGTTGAGCTCTCCTCTGCTGCACCCACACCACACACACACACAAAACATCATGCCAAGCATCGTGCTCGCATCTCGTCGGAATAGTCGTCGAACCAAGGGACCGGATTCCCAAAGTTTCCCGGCTCCTTGCTCTCATCCTGCACAAAAACTGTCGCCTCCAACACAGCGATGATGCCAATGGTCAGCAGGAAGCCAACTTGCCCGTTGCCCACAGTGCACGCCGTGACATCCTTGGGCACACCTTCCATGCCAGGAAGAGTCACCAGGCTCTGTGTCAACATTCCAAGTGCTCCCATCCTGAATCGCTCAACTTCTCCGGTGCAATTTACTTGCTTTCTGTTTAGGCTGTTAAATTCACATGTTCTCCCCGAAAGTTGAAATCCAAAGATTTGAAACCAAATAGCAGCCAAGCATCATTGCCAATCGGCCGTGCTTGATCTCCTTGGCTCGCAAGTCCTTGAAAGCAGCCTCGTCCGTGCAGAAGCCCGCGGGGTCGAAGAAGCCCAAGGGTTCCATGGCACCGATCTGAGATTCCTTGCTGAAGTTGCAGACCACCTTGGCCTTGCGAGGCCGTGCAAAGCTCACCATGGCGGCGCCCGAGACGCCGGAAGCAGCCAGCATCGAGAAGGTGCCAAAGCTGGACCCCGAGGCGGAGCTTGCCGATGTCGTTCCTCGCAGCCCAGAGACCTGGGAAGACTGGGAACCTGGTACGACAAAGGCATCCGCAGGCGCGGCCAGCATGCTTGCAGCCAGCATGCTCTTCATGGACGCCATCAGTCAAAGTGAGTCAAGTGACTCAGTGGGCCTCGCAAAGCCCAAAGATTCAACAACAGCCTACAGCGCTGGAGCAAACATAAATGCGGCGACATGCGGCGACCGATGCTCGGCCGAAACCCGTCTATGCCTCAACTATGTATGGCAAAACGGCAACATTCAGCATAACATGGCACTAGTATGGCATATGGTCAAACGTGTGGTGCAATACGTCCTCTACAAGTCCAGAACATGAGCTCCGGAGCGACCCCCGCGTTGTGGGCAAAAAACCGTGGCACCTGTCATTGTCCGTCTGACACCTGATGTCCCGGCGTCCATCCTGAGGTCATGTCACTGTGGCTGAACCCTGCCGGCGACATGAAAAACCGGTGCTTTGCTTCTTTCTGCAATGCCTTCTGCGATCTCAGATCCGCCGCACAACCGTGCGCAACAAGCGGGGCTGCAAACGTGGCACTGTGCTTGGATCATTGGAAGAACAACATCGTTGCTTCTGACAACGCCACATGGCCAATGTAGCTTCGAGAACTGACCCTTGATTCCAAGCACAAGCCCTTGCCAGCCCGAAATTGGATAAAAAAAGAGTGAGTAGAGGGGGGGGGGGAGAAAGGGGGTGGGGGGGGAAAAAAAAAGGAAAAAAGACCAAATGGTATGAGAATCGCCGGCAAGCGCAGCTCTGTGGCAGCTCAACAGCAAGCTGGTGCTTCGCAGCATGGTGCCTGGGAAGCCAAAGCAGAAGGTACAACATTGCTACATTCATGTAAATACTAAATCACATATGAATGATTCTACACGCCGAACTGTTCAATACCAGCCTTGCCGGTGTACAGGCCAGCTGCAATTTGGCCAATTGCCGAAAACATTGCGATGCGGCCGTTGTTGAGCTCTCCTCTGCTGCACCCACACCAAACATCACAACTGGCAGGACAATTGATTAACAACGTGAACAGTTACACAACAGCTGAAATGATATGCCAAGCATCGTGCTCGCATCTCGTCGGAATAGTCGTCGAACCAAGGGACCGGATTCCCAAAGTTTCCCGGCTCCTTGCTCTCATCCTGCACGAAAACTGTCGCCTCCAACACAGCGATGATGCCAATGGTCAGCAGGAAGCCAACTTGCCCGTTGCCCACAGTGCACGCCGTGACATCCTTGGGCACACCTTCCATGCCAGGAAGAGTCACCAGGCTCTGTGTCAACATTCCAAGTGCTCCCATCCTGAATGCTTCAACTTCCCGTGCAAGTTACTTGCTTTCTGTTTAGGGCTGTTAAAATCACATGTTTCTCACCCGTAAGTTGAAATTCCAAAGATTTGAAACCAATAGCAGCCAAGATCATTGCCAATCGCCCGTGCTTGATCTCCTGGCTCCAAGTCCTTGAAAGCACCTCGTCCTGCAGAAGCCCGCGGGTCGAAAGAAGCCCAAGGGTTCCATGGCACCGAATCTGAGATTCCTTGCTGAAGTTGCAGACATATAACCTTGGCCTTGCGAGGACCTGTGCAAAGCTCACCATGCATGGCGGCGCCCGAGACGCCGGAAGCAGCCAGCATCCGAGAAGGTGCCAAAGCTAGACCCCGGAGGCGGAGCATGCCGATAGTCGTTCCTCGCAGCCCCGAGACCTGGGAAACTGGAACTTAGGTACACAAAGGCAATCCGCAGGATTGTTCGGCCAGCATGCTTGCAGCCAGCATGCTCTTCATGGACGCCATCAGTCAAAGTGAGTCAAGTGACTCAGTGGGCCTCGCAAAGCCCAAAGATTCAACAACAGCCTACAGCGCTGGAGCAAACATAAATGCGGCGACATGCGGCGACCGATGCTCGGCCGAAACCCGTCTATGCCTCAACTATGTATGGCAAAACGGCAACATTCAGCATAACATGGCACTAGTATGGCATATGGTCAAACGTGTGGTGCAATACGTCCTCTACGAGTCCAGAACATGAGCCCCGGAGCGACCCCCACGTTGTGGGCAAACAACCGTGGCACCTGTCATTGTCCGTCTGACACCTGATGTCCCGGCGTCCATCCTGAGGTCATGTCACTGTGGCTGAACCCTGCCGGCGACATGAAAAACCGGTGCTTTGCTTCTTTCTGCAATGCCTTTTGCGATCTCAGATCCGCCGCACAACCGTGCGCAACAAGCGGGGCTGCAAACGTGGCACTGTGCTTGGATCATTGGAAGAACAGCATCGTTTCTTCTGACCATGCCACATGCCAATGTAGCTTCGAGACTGACCTTGCTTCCAAGCACAAGCCCTTGCTAGCAGAAAATTGGATAGACCAAATGGTATGAGAATCGCCGCAAGCGCAGCTCTGTTGGCAGCTCACAGCAAGCTTGTGCTTCGCAGCATGGTGCCGGAAGCCAAAGCATGAAGGTACTACATGTACATCATGTAAATACTAAATACATATGAATGATTCTACACGCCGAACTGTTCAATACCAGCCTTGCCGGTGTACAGGCCAGCTGCAATTTGGCCAATTGCCGAAAACATTGCGATGCGGCCGTTGTTGAGCTCTCCTCTGCTGCACCCACACCAAACATCACAACAGGCTGGACATTTGATTAACAAAATGAACAGTTACACAACAGCTGAAATGATATGCCAAGCATCGTGCTCGCATCTCGTCGGAATAGTCGTCGAACCAAGGGACCGGATTCCCAAAGTTTCCCGGCTCCTTGCTCTCATCCTGCACGAAAACTGTCGCCTCCAACACAGCGATGATGCCAATGGTCAGCAGGAAGCCAACTTGCCCGTTGCCCACAGTGCACGCCGTGACATCCTTGGGCACACCTTCCATGCCAGGAAGAGTCACCAGGCTCTGTGTCAACATTCCAAGTGCTCCCATCCTGAATGGCTCAACTTCCTCGTTGCAACTTACTTGCTTTCTGTTTAGGCTGTTAAAATCACATGTTCTCCCCGAAGGTTGAAATCCAAAGAATTAAATCCAAATAGCAGCCAAGCATCATTGCCAATCGGCCGTGCTTGATCTCCTTGGCTCGCAAGTCCTTGAAAGCAGCCTCGTCCGTGCAGAAGCCCGCAGGGTCGAAGAAGCCCAAGGGTTCCATGGCACCGATCTGAGATTCCTTGCTGAAGTTGCAGACCACCTTGGCCTTGCGAGGCCGTGCAAAGCTCACCATGGCGGCGCCCGAGACGCCGGAAGCAGCCAGCATCGAGAAGGTGCCAAAGCTGGACCCCGAGGCGGAGCTTGCCGATGTCGTTCCTCGCAGCCCAGAGACCTGGGAAGACTGGGAACCTGGTACGACAAAGGCATCCGCAGGCGCGGCCAGAATGCTTGCAGCCAGCATGCTCTTCATGGACGCCATCAGTCAAAGTGAGTCAAGTGACTCAGTGGGCCTCGCAAAGCCCAAAGATTCAACAACAGCCTACAGCGCTGGAGCAAACATAAATGCGGCGACATGCGGCGACCGATGCTCGGCCGAAACCCGTCTATGCCTCAACTATGTATGGCAACAAAACGGCAACGTTCAGCACCAGTATGGCAACAAATGGTCAAACGTGTGGCGCAATACGTCCTGTATGAGTCCAGAACATTCGCCCCGGAACGACCCTCACGTCACGTTGTGGGCAAAAAACCGTGGCACCTGTCATTGTCCGTCTGACTCCTGATGTCCTGGCGTTCATGGCTGAACCCTGCCGGCAACATGAAAAAAGCCGGTGCTTTGCCTTTTTTGCAATGCCTTCTGTGATCTCAGATCCGCCGCACAACCGTGCGCAACAAGCGGGGCTGCAAACGTGGCACTGTGCTTGGATCATTGGAAGAAAAGCATCGTTGCTTCTGACTCATGCCACATGCCAATGTGGCTTCGAGACTGACCTTGCTTCCAAGCACAAGCCCTTGCTAGCAGAAAATTGGATAGACCAAATGGTATGAGAATCGCCGCAAGCGCAGCTCTGTTGGCAGCTCACAGCAAGCTCGTGCTTCGCAGCATGGTGCCGGAAGCCAAAGCATGAAGGTACTACATGTACATCATGTAAATACTAAATACATATGAATGATTCTACACGCCGAACTGTTCAATACCAGCCTTGCCGGTGTACAGGCCAGCTGCAATTTGGCCAATTGCCGAAAACATTGCGATGCGGCCGTTGTTGAGCTCTCCTCTGCTGCACCCACACCAAACATCACAACAGGCTTGGACCATTTGATTAACAACGAGAAACAGTGCACACCAGCTGAAATGATACTGCCAAAGCATTCGTGGCTCGATCACGTCGATAGTCGTCGAACCAAGGACCCGGATTCCCAAAGTTCCCGGCTCCTTGCTCTCATCCTGCATCGAAAACGTCGGCCATCCAACTCATGCGATGATGCCAATGTCAGCAGGAAGCCAACGTGCCCGTTTGCCCACAGTGCAACGCCGTGACATCCTTGGGCACTACCATCCATGCCAGGAAGAGGCACCAGGCTCTGTGTCAACATCCAAAGTGCTCCCTCCTGAATGGCTCAACTTCCCCGGTGCAATTTACTTGCTTTTACGTTTAGGCTGTTAAAATCACATGTTTCTCAACCCCCTCCAATTCTCCCGAAAAGTTGAAATCAAAGATTTAAAACCAAATAGCAGCCAAGCATCATTGCCCAATCGGCCGTGCTTGATCTCCCTTGGGCTCGCAGTCCAGAAAGCAGCCTCGTCGTGCAGAATCCCGCAGGGTCGAAGAAGCCCAAGGGTTTCCATGGCACCGATCTGTGATCCTTGGCTGAAGTTGCAGGACCACCTTGGCCCTTGCGAGGCGTGTATACACACCATGGCGCGCCCGAGACGCCGGAAAGCAGACCAGCATCGAGAAGCTGGCCAAAGCCTAGACCCCGCGGCGAGCTTGCCGATGTCGTTCCTCGCAGCCCGGAGACCTGGGAAGACTGGGAACCTGGTACGACAAAGGCATCCGCAGGCGCGGCCAGCATGCTTGCAGCCTGCTCTTCATGGACGCCATCAGTCAAAGTGAGTCAAGTGACTCAGTGGGCCTCGCAAAGCCCAAAGATTCAACAACAGCCTACAGCGCTGGAGCAAACATAAATGCGGCGACATGCGGCGACCGATGCTCGGCCGAAACCCGTCTATGCCTCAACTATGTATGGCAAAATGGCAACATTCAGCATAACATGGCACTAGTATGGCATATGGTCAAACGTGTGGTGCAATACGTCCTCTACGAGTCCAGAACATGAGCCTCGGAGCGACCCCCACTTTGTGGGCAAAAAACCGTGGCACCTGTCATTGTCCGTCTGACACCTGATGTCTGATGTCCCGGCGTCCATCCTGAGGTCATGTCACTGTATGTGTGGCTGAACCCTGCCGGCGACATGAAAAACCGGTGCTTTGCTTCTTTTTGCAATGCCTTTTGCGATCTCAGATCCGCCGCACAACCGTGCGCAGCAAGCGGGGCTGCAAACGTGGCACTGTGCTTGGATCATTGGAAGAACAGCATCGTTGCTTCTGACCATGCCACATGCCAATGTAGCTTCGAGACTGACCGTGCTTCCAAGCACAAGCCCTTGCTAGCAGAAAATTGGATAGACCAAATGGTATGAGAATCGCCGCAAGCGCAGCTCTGTTGGCAGCTCACAGCAAGCTCGTGCTTCGCAGCATGGTGCCGGAAGCCAAAGCATGAAGGTACTACATGTACATCATGTAAATACTAAATACATATGAATGATTCTACACGCCGAACTGTTCAATACCAGCCTTGCCGGTGTACAGGCCAGCTGCAATTTGGCCAATTGCCGAAAACATTGCGATGCGGCCGTTGTTGAGCTCTCCTCTGCTGCACCCACACCAAACATCACAACAGGCTGCACAATTGATTAACAAAATGAACAGTTACACAACAGCTGAAATGATATGCCAAGCATCGTGCTCGCATCTCGTCGGAATAGTCGTCGAACCAAGGGACCGGATTCCCAAAGTTTCCCGGCTCCTTGCTCTCATCCTGCACGAAAACTGTCGCCTCCAACAGAGCGATGATGCCAATGGTCAGCAGGAAGCCAACTTGCCCGTTGCCCACAGTGCACGCCGTGACATCCTTGGGCACACCTTCCATGCCAGGAAGAGTCACCAGGCTCTGTGTCAACATTCCAAGTGCTCCCATCCTGGATGGCTCAATTTCCCCGTTGCAATTTACTTGCTTTCTGTTTAGGCTGTTAAAATCACGTGTTCTCCCCGAAGGTTGAAATCCAAAGATTCAAAACCAAATAGCGGCCAAGCATCATTGCCAATCGGCCGTGCTTGATCTCCTTGGCTCGCAAGTCCTTGAAAGCAGCCTCGTCCGTGCAGAAGCCCGCAGGGTCGAAGAAGCCCAAGGGTTCCATGGCACCGATCTGAGATTCCTTGCTGAAGTTGCAGACCACCTTGGCCTTGCGAGGCCGTGCAAAGCTCACCATGGCGGCGCCCGAGACGCCGGAAGCAGCCAGCATCGAGAAGGTGCCAAAGCTAGACCCCGAGGCGGAGCTTGCCGATGTCGTTCCTCGCAGCCCGGAGACCTGGGAAGACTGGGAACCTGGTACGACAAAGGCATCCGCAGGCGCGGCCAGCATGCTTGCAGCCAGCATGCTCTTCATGGACGCCATCAGTCAAAGTGAGTCAAGTGACTCAGTGGGCCTCGCAAAGCCCAAAGATTCAACAACAGCCTACAGCGCTGGAGCAAACATAAATGCGGCGACATGCGGCGACCGATGCTCGGCCGAAACCCGTCTATGCCTCAACTATGTATGGCAAAATGGCAACATTCAGCATAACATGGCACTAGTATGGCATATGGTCAAACGTGTGGTGCAATACGTCCTCTACGAGTCCAGAACATGAGCCTCGGAGCGACCCCCACGTTGTGGGCAAAAAACCGTGGCACCTGTCATTGTCCGTCTGACACCTGATGTCTGATGTCCCGGCGTCCATCCTGAGGTCATGTCACTGTATGTGTGGCTGAACCCTGCCGGCGACATGAAAAACCGGTGCTTTGTTTCTTTTTGCAATGCCTTCTGCGATCTCAGATCCGCCGCACAACCGTGCGCAGCAAGCGGGGCTGCAAACGTGGCACTGTGCTTGGATCATTGGAAGAACAGCATCGTTGCTTCTGACCATGCCACATGCCAATGTAGCTTCGAGACTGACCTTGCTTCCAAGCACAAGCCCTTGCTAGCAGAAAATTGGATAGACCAAATGGTATGAGAATCGCCGCAAGCGCAGCTCTGTTGGCAGCTCACAGCAAGCTCGTGCTTCGCAGCATGGTGCCGGAAGCCAAAGCATGAAGGTACTACATGTACATCATGTAAATACTAAATACATATGAATGATTCTACACGCCGAACTGTTCAATACCAGCCTTGCCGGTGTACAGGCCAGCTGCAATTTGGCCAATTGCCGAAAACATTGCGATGCGGCCGTTGTTGAGCTCTCCTCTGCTGCACCCACACCAAACATCACAACAGGCTGACAATTGATTAACAACGTGAACAGTTACACAACAGCTGAAATGATATGCCAAGCATCGTGCTCGCATCTCGTCGGAATAGTCGTCGAACCAAGGGACCGGATTCCCAAAGTTTCCCGGCTCCTTGCTCTCATCCTGCACGAAAACTGTCGCCTCCAACACAGCGATGATGCCAATGGTCAGCAGGAAGCCAACTTGCCCGTTGCCCACAGTGCACGCCGTGACATCCTTGGGCACACCTTCCATGCCAGGAAGAGTCACCAGGCTCTGTGTCAACATTCCAAGTGCTCCCATCCTGGATGGCTCAATTTCCCCGTTGCAATTTACTTGCTTTCTGTTTAGGCTGTTAAAATCACGTGTTCTCCCCGAAGGTTGAAATCCAAAGATTTAAAACCAAATAGCGGCCAAGCATCATTGCCAATCGGCCGTGCTTGATCTCCTTGGCTCGCAAGTCCTTGAAAGCAGCCTCGTCCGTGCAGAAGCCCGCAGGGTCGAAGAAGCCCAAGGGTTCCATGGCACCGATCTGAGATTCCTTGCTGAAGTTGCAGACCACCTTGGCCTTGCGAGGCCGTGCAAAGCTCACCATGGCGGCGCCCGAGACGCCGGAAGCAGCCAGCATCGAGAAGGTGCCAAAGCTAGACCCCGAGGCGGAGCTTGCCGATGTCGTTCCTCGCAGCCCGAAAACCTGGGAAGACTGGGAACCTGGTACGACAAAGGCATCCGCAGGCGCGGCCAGCATGCTTGCAGCCAGCATGCTCTTAATGGACGCCATCAGTCAAAGTGAGTCAAGTGACTCAGTGGGCCTCGCAAAGCCCAAAGATTCAACAACAGCCTACAGCGCTGGAGCAAACATAAATGCGGCGACATGCGGCGACCGATGCTCGGCCGAAACCCGTCTATGCCTCAACTATGTATGGCAAAATGGCAACATTCAGCATAACATGGCACTAGTATGGCATATGGTCAAACGTGTGGTGCAATACGTCCTCTACGAGTCCAGAACATGAGCCTAGGAGCGACCCCCACGTTGTGGGCAAAAAACCCTGGCACCTGTCATTGTCCGTCTGACACCTGATGTCTGATGTCCCGGCGTCCATCCTGAGGTCATGTCACTGTATGTGTGGCTGAACCCTGCCGGCGACATGAAAAACCGGTGCTTTGCTTCTTTTTGCAATGCCTTCTGTGATCTCAGATCCGCCGCACAACCGTGCGCAGCAAGCGGGGCTGCAAACGTGGCACTGTGCTTGGATCATTGGAAGAACAGCATCGTTGCTTCTGACCATGCCACATGCCAATGTAGCTTCGAGACTGACCTTGCTTCAAGCACAAGCCCTTGCTAGCAGAAAATTGGATAGACCAAATGGTGTGAGAATCGCCGCAAGCGCAGCTCTGTTGGCAGCTCACAGCAAGCTCGTGCTTCGCAGCATGGTGCCGGAAGCCAAAGCATGAAGGTACTACATGTACATCATGTAAATACTAAATACATATGAATGATTCTACACGCCGAACTGTTCAATACCAGCCTTGCCGGTGTAAAGGCCAGCTGCAATTTGGCCAATTGCCGAAAACATTGCGATGCGGCCGTTGTTGAGCTCTCCTCTGCTGCACCCACACCAAACATCACAACAGGCTGGACATGTGATTAACAACGTGAACAGTTACACAACAGCTGAAATGATATGCCAAGCATCGTGCTCGCATCTCGTCGGAATAGTCGTCGAACCAAGGGACCGGATTCCCAAAGTTTCCCGGCTCCTTGCTCTCATCCTGCACGAAAACTGTCGCCTCCAAAACAGCGATGATGCCAAGGGTCAGCAGGAAGCCGACTTGCCCGTTGCCCACAGTGCACGCCGTGACATCCTTGGGCACACCTTCCATGCCAGGAAGAGTGACCAGGCTCTGCGTCAACATTCCAAGTGCCCCCATCCTGGATGGCTCAATTTCCCTGGTGCAAAAACGTTATACTTGTTTTCTGTTTGGGCTGTTCAGTGGGAAAATCGCATATTCTCCCCAAAAGTTGAAATCCAAAGATTTCAAACCAAATAGCGGCCAAGCATCATTGCCAATCGGCCGTGCTTGATCTCCTTGGCTCGCAAGTCCTTGAAAGCAGCCTCGTCCGTGCAGAAGTCCGCGGGGTCGAAGAAGCCCAAGGGTTCCATGGCACCGATCTGAGATTCCTTGCTGAAGTTGCAGACCACCTTGGCCTTGCGAGGCCGTGCAAAGCTCACCATGGCGGCGCCCGAGACGCCGGAAGCAGCCAGCATCGAGAAGGTGCCAAAGCTAGACCCCGAGGCGGAGCTTGCCGATGTCGTTCCTCGCAGCCCAGAGACCTGGGAAGACTGGGAACCTGGTACGACGAAGGCATCCGCAGGCGCGGCCAGCATGCTTGCAGCCAGCATGCTCTTCTTGGACGCCATCAGTCAAAGTGAGTCAAGTGACTCAGTGGGCCTCGCAAAGCCCAAAGATTCAACAGCCTACAGCGCTGGAGCAAACATAAATGCGGCGACATGCGGCGACCGATGCTCGGCCGAAACCCGTCTACGCCTCAACTATGTATGGCAACAAAACGGCAACATTCAGCATAACATGGCACTAGTATGGCAACAAATGGTCAAACGCGTGGCGCAATACATCCTATATGGGTCCAAAACATGAGCCCCGGAGCGACCCTCACGCTGTGGGCAAAAAACCGTGGCACCTGTCAATGTCCGTCTGACTCCTGATGTCCTGGCGTTCATGGCTGAACCCTGCCGGCAACATGAAAAAAGCCGGTGCTTTGCCTTTTTTGCAATGTCTTCTGTGACCTCAGATCCGCCGCACAACCGTGCGCAACAAGCGGGGCTGCAAACGTGGCACTGTGCTTGGATCATTGGAAGAACAGCATCGTTGCTTCTGACCATGCCACATGCCAATGTAGCTTCGAGACTGACCTTGCTTCCAAGCACAAGCCCTTGCTAGCAGAAAATTGGATAGACCAAATGGTATGAGAATCGCCGCAAGCGCAGCTCTGTTGGCAGCTCACAGCAAGCTCGTGCTTCGCAGCATGGTGCCGGAAGCCAAAGCATGAAGGTACTACATGTACATCATGTAAATACTAAATACATATGAATGATTCTACACGCCGAACTGTTCAATACCAGCCTTGCCGGTGTAAAGGCCAGCTGCAATTTGGCCAATTGCCGAAAACATTGCGATGCGGCCGTTGTTGAGCTCTCCTCTGCTGCACCCACACCAAACATCACAACAGGCTGGACATTTGATTAACAACGTGAACAGTTGCACAACAGCTGAAGTGATATGCCAAGCATCGTGCTCGCATCTCGTCGGAATAGTCGTCGAACCAAGGGACCGGATTCCCAAAGTTTCCCGGCTCCTTGCTCTCATCCTGCACGAAAACTGTCGCCTCCAACACAGCGATGATGCCAATGGTCAGCAGGAAGCCAACTTGCCCGTTGCCCACAGTGCACGCCGTGACATCCTTGGGCACACCTTCCATGCCAGGAAGAGTCACCAGGCTCTGCGTCAGCATTCCAAGTGCCCCCATCCTGGATGGCTCAATTTCCCTGGTGCAAAAACGCTTTACTTGTTTTCTGGTCAGGCTGCTCAGTGAAAAAATCACATGTTCTCCCCGAAAGTTGAAATCCAAACATTTCAAACCAAATAGCGGCCAAGCATCATTGCCAATCGGCCGTGCTTGATCTCCTTGGCTCGCAAGTCCTTGAAAGCAGCCTCGTCCGTGCAGAAGCCCGCGGGGTCGAAGAAGCCCAAGGGTTCCATGGCACCAATCTGAGATTCCTTGCTGAAGTTGCAGACCACCTTGGCCTTGCGAGGCCGTGCAAAGCTCACCATGGCGGCGCCCGAGACGCCGGAAGCAGCCAGCATCGAGAAGGTGCCAAAGCTAGACCCCGAGGCAGAGCTTGCCGATGTCGTTCCTCGCAGCCCGGAGACCTGGGAAGACTGGGAACCTGGTACGACAAAGGCATCCGCAGGCGCGGCCAGAATGCTTGCAGCCAGCATGCTCTTAATGGACGCCATCAGTCAAAGTGAGTCAAGTGACTCAGTGGGCCTCGCAAAGCCCAAAGATTCAACAACAGCCTACAGCGCTGGAGCAAGCATGCGGAGAGCCGGCTTGGATAGAATTTACAAACACGGGTTCTCAGTATAGTGGCTCTCAGTCTGCAGCGTGACTGTTTGTTGCTCTTGAGGCTTGCACACGCACACACGCATATTCTTTCTCGCCTGCTGGATGGTTGGGTGAGACAGTTGCGCTTGGAGCGTCCCTCTGCATTTCACGCAACAGTGGCTGTACTGCAAGCTAGGAGCACCAAACGAATTTGACATTGGCATGTATGCCTCTGCAAGTAGCAGTCACGCAAGTCATCACAGGACTGTATTCCCACCTTGGCAAGGCTTGCCACCCCGAAGCACAACAGCCTGTTCAAGCCACCCGCCCTAGCCAGCGATACCTGCCCTTTCCTAGATGGATGTAGTATCTCAAAATTGGAGGACACCCAAAATGTAGTCTCAGTAGCTTTCAAGCTGGATTCCCTTCAAAACCAAACAGGGTGCTCTCAAAAACTGACAAAAAACCATGTCAGCTTTTCCTCTCGAACCAAGCCCTTGGACACCTCTCCAAAACATCTTCGCGGGTCTTCCAAACCAAGCCCCCACACGCAGGTTCCGCAGCTGAGCTTCCACCTGCCAAGTGCAAAGATTTCTGGATGACTCCAAAAGATCAAGACTCCGAAACGTCTGGAAGAATCGAACTGGAAACAAAAACCTGGAACTCCTGATGTTTGCTTTTTTCTTCTGCCTTTGGCCAAAGAAGAAACTTGACAAATCCTAGCGTCAAGTCCTGAACTCAGAACTCCAAGAAAATCTCGCCCATTTTGGGTGAGGTTTCGGACACCCAAAATGGTGGTGCTCCTGTTTGTTTCCCTTGAAAACCTCCTAACAAGGGGACCCCCCAAAAAAGAAAGACACACCCAGCATATATTGTGATTCGGGCACGAGCCTGTGCCCAGGCAATGGGTAAGTTGGGGTAAACAAGCCACAAAAGAAAGGTTCCCCAAAAGCAAACCAATCCCCGGTCCCAAAGATCAGGGTTTCCCACACACCAGAGAACAACAACCAAAAGGGAAAAACCAAAACAAGTAAACAAGTACCCGCAACCTTGATCGACGATGAACCGCACGGGCGGACCCCACCAATCTGCCCCGGGCCGATGTCTCTTTCTCCACCGACACGAAGGTGATCGACGCGGGGACCCGGCGACGCTCATCCGAGGCGCGACGGACCCGCAAACTTGAGCCAAACATCACAGGTCGGTCACTACCGCGACGTCCCTGATGATGAAGTTAACCATGGCTAATCACACCCCCCTCACGAGGAGTCCGTCATTTGACGGGCGGAGCGTGCCATTTACTGATAGGATTTAACTGCTCGCATGTGTCCGCAAACAGCTGGACACCACCGCCGTCAGCGGTGGAACAAACCCACAAAGGCAGTTGCGCGACATCCCGGGCATTAAATTCCCGCCACCACCCCGAATTAATCGGGGTAACGCTGTCCAACACACCTTGTGGAAGAGTCCACATGACGGCACTAGGCCACAACTGTTTGCATCAACAATGCAAGAAGTTTAATTCTTATCAGAACCATGAAATAAAGGATAACGTATGTCCATTAGTACCCTCGCCTATCGGCAAGAGGTACTCCTGATCATGCGTACCTGAAAAATGCTTGAATTCCGCAAACCTGGGAGTATCCCCCCATCAGTTTGCTTCCCCTCTCACTCACACTACTTCATGATGAGCACGACCAGCAGCCGGGCAGCGGTGCGGAAGAGACATGATCTCCGCGGCTGAGCGGTTCGGGAGGAACATCACCACCTCCACACCGCGCTGACCATTGGAGAATGGACGCAAGCCTATTGGCCGCAACCCTCGTGACTCAGCCTATCGGCTATCGTCACGTCTCCTCCGGTCACGTCCGCCCCGCGCACGGTCCCTATCACGATCCCTCTCGGATCTCCTGCGATCATCTCGCCTTCGTTCTCGCTCTCGATCGAGTGAATCATCATCACGACGATCACGGGCATCGTCCCTCCTCCGGTCACGATCATCCTCGCGCCGCGGACGGTATCTGCGTCTTCTCGACTCTCTGGAATCCCTGGTGTCCACAGTCCTAACGGACCTCCGAGACGGAGTGCGGGAGACGTCCGAGTCTCTGCGTCTCCTCCCAGAACGAGAGTTCGTGACGATCTGATTGAGAGCTTCCAGTGCCGAAGCTTCTTCACCATTTCTGATGAAATCCCTGACCTGCTTGTTCAGCACTCTATTGGTGGAAACCGACAGGAGGGCGTCCACCACCGAACTCTCAGGCAGCACCAGGAAGTGACCCTCCACCGGGCTCGCCGCAGCTCGCTCAGCCGGCTGCAACCTGATCTCACCTCCTTCAGGTTTCTTCGCCATTGCCTTGGAGGCCGTCAGGGGCGCTACCGCGTCCTTTGCCGAAGACCTACCAAGCGCAGAGTGGAGATCATCCCCACTAGCCTCTCTCGCTGCTGCACCCGGTCTGCTGTCAACGTCATCAGGCCTGGTCGACGCCTCCCGCTTCGTTGACTCCTTCACGGTCTCATCAGGATCCCAACGGGACTTCCTCTCTCTCTTCTGCCCTTCGGCCGACCCCCGACTACCGCCAGGAGCGCCGTCTCCTCCTACCTTCTCCTTCTTGACCTCAACCTTCGGTTCGGCCTGCTTCGTCTCCTTAGCCTCAGCCTTTGGAGCCGGACCACTCTTCGCCTCTGAAACAGAAGCTGCCTTTCCCTTTGGCTCGGCCTTTGGAACCGGAGTCATTTTAGCCTTCGCACTCGGCCGGGCTCCTTCAACCACCATCGCGACCCAAGTCTTCTTCGGCTGAGCCGCAGCAGCATCAACCTCCATCGGAGCAGGCCCAGCATCAGCCTTAGCTTTTGCCTGTGGGACAGATGGGCTATCGCCCTTACCAGGCCCTTTACCTGGCACTTCACCTGACTTCGCTTGTGGGCCGGAAGGACTACCGCCCTTACCGCCCTTTTCTCCCTTCTTCCCTTTTCCTTTTCCGCCCTTGATGATTGGCTCCTGCTTAGGACCAGGACCCGGCGCAGCATGATGCACCGATTGAAGCCCTTCGATGTTCACGTCCAAAGGCTCCGGTTGGCGACCATCAAGAACCGTCCTCACCCTTTCGTCACTAACGTAGACGAATGGGAAGGGGGCGGGAGGCTCCGACTGCCCGGCACTGATTGCCTTCTGCACCTTGGCTATCGCCTCCTTCAATCTCTTCTTCTCATCGTACCCTGTCTCCGACACCATGTACTTCCTGAGTTGCGATATCAACGCATGACTGGTCAGGATGTCCACGTCCTTCCGATGTGTCGGATACAATGGAGTCAGATGCCCCGCCGCGGAGCCAATCACGTACGCCATCGGGATATAGAAGGACAAGTACGTGTCATGGCGAGCGAACTTCCTAACGGAAGTCGTCATACGCCTACCCCACTGAGCAGCATGCGCTGGGTTAGCTCGGAAGTACTCAGTGACTGAATCAAATCTATCGACTTGGTTGGTCCTGATTAGGTGCTTCGCCACCCACTTCTCCACGAACGCATCCGAGGCCGAAATCCCCGACACATAGGAGAATTGGAAGAGCACCTTCGCCAGCTCATCCCACGCCGTATCGACTCCTCCCTTGTCCTCACCTAGATAAGGGGGCAGTCTGATGCCGCTCTGCACCGTCATCCTCAGGTCAGACGCCATCGAATAGGAAATCAAGTTCCTCTTGATGACTCCGACCACTTCGGATGGGATCCTCTTGGGCTTGAACTGCCTCATGCTCCTCACCCACTCCGGGACGATAAGGCACCTCTCGAAGTCACTTTCGTCCGCGTTGGGGATGAAGTTCGGGTAGAAGACCGGGAGCGCACATCCAGGGCACAAATGCATCCCATTTGGCGTCATCTCCGCGCACCTCAAACAGAACGTGGTGGTCACATTCAACCTGACCTCTTCACGCGATCGCATGTGTTCTCCCCTAACGGGGGTAAGGTCACCATAGTCCCATGCCCGATGATACACTATCGTGAATCATCGTACATGTATGCTGCCTTCCAAGCGCCCATGTGGATCTTGTTCCGAACGGCAAGGGTCTTTCTCCTCGTCAGAAACACGGGTCCAACCAGTGACCAGTGCACCCGAAGGTCCACGATTACCACCACGTACCTTCCCGAGTAGTTCCGCAGCCTATCCCTGACGCACCATGATGGCGAGTGGGATCAGGCCTTCATCCTGCCTTCCATCCCCAATGGTCTCGTACATATCGGGCCTCGTGATCAATATCTCGATCATGGCCTTTCCGTTTCGCCTCACCTTTTGGAGCTGAACTGCCTTCCTAAAGTCTGAGAACTTCATGATGACATACCCCACCATAGGGAGTTCATTCCAGTGCATCTCATACATCAGAGATCCGCCAGGTGCATCTTCTTGGGTGTACCTTTGCCTAACGGCACTGTAGCTCATGTCACGTCCGATCCGCGTGTACTCTTTGAGGAGGACACCATTCCCATCGTACATGACCATGAGCATCGCCTCAACTTGCCCTATCGGGAAAGCTTTGATCGTCGGAATGAAGAACTTCCACGACATCTCGGCGTTCTCCATGCCCGTGATCTCTCTCAGGAACCAGATGGCCTGGTCACTATTCACCCAGTTTCCAGCCTCACGTCCAGTTTCCCTCAGCACACGTTCCTCGAATAACTCCGAGACTTTCTTCGAGTTGATGACCAGACCTTCAAAGTCGCACGAGAGCAGTCTCATCAACTCCTTAGCCGCCTCCCGCCCTGCAACAGTGCCCGCGGTTTCCTCGTAGTTCGGGACGTACTCGCCCAACCTTGTCTTCGAGGGAATCACAATCTGGCATGTAGCGGCCTCATCAGGGATAACCCCAGTACCCCTTAGTTCTGGATTGATTTCCCGCCTATCGGCAAGATAATCCCTCCTTCCGTCCAGGACCACAAGATTGTAGGTCATCTTGCTTGCCGCCTCACTCGTTCGGAACCTTCTGCTTTCATCCACCTGATCAGGAGCAAAGGGTCCACTGGGGGCAGCTGCACTTACCATTGGCGCTCCTCGCCCAGAGCATAGGTGCTTCTTGTGAAAGTTCACCATCTCATTCAGCTGCCACAGGGCATAAGCTCGATCCTCCAATGACGCACTCTTCATCCCAGCCTCAGTCAGAGGAGCCTCAGGCTTGTCATAACTCGCCTTTCCGCCCCATCTCGCCGCGACCAGCTCAGCAGACTTTGCAGGATCAATCAGATTGCCCGACCATTCAGGCATGTCGCTCAACCTCCTAGTGAACGCGACAATCGACGCAGCCAAGTCTTCATCCGTTACGGTGTGAGGGTCGACCTTCTCCCTGTCCTCCTGACCCACGTCAAGGAGCCTATAGTCCCCGCGGATGGCCTCCATCGCGGCCTTCTCAGCTTCCTCAGCCTCCTTTTGCGTGGCCACAGCTCTAGGAATCAGGAGCGCGGCCTCAGCTGGCAACGATTTCTCCATGTCAATCGGAGTGTTCTTGGGAAGGATCCTTCGATCATCTCCCTCCCCGCTGTACACATAGTCTGGAGCAGTCTTTCGGTACTCCTCGAAGGTCGCCCC